GCAGGTTATGCCTTCATTGTACAGTAGCGATGTTTCATTCCAGCTGACCAGTTTAGAAAATACAAATGCCTTTCCCCCCGAAGCAGCGAATGCCGTAACAACTCCCTTCCTAACAGGTGATACATTACCACATGTAGCTACTCCTGCAGACAGCCGTATCTCTTCAAGTGTTTTTGAAAGAAGTGAGGCTGCCAGTGCCTCTTCAAGTTCTACACTTGCTTTTGATCCTGTTCATATGCCTGCAGTTGTTTCTGATTCTGATGTGTCCATTCATCACACTCTTCCTTTACCAAATGTACGTATTTCTATTACGGCTGTTCCTCCCAAAAGTGAGATTCCTGTAACTTTTAGTAGGTTGCTGGTTCCTTCTAGAGAATCCTCTGGGTTGTCTCCCAGTATCATGTCCAGTACTGATTTGTGGCCTTCTGTAGTTGAGGATGACTACGATGAGTATGATGATGGCTTCCCTGTAAGTAACTGTATCTCATGCACTTCCCATAGAGAAGCTCAGGATATGGTAGTAGAGGAACAAAATACAAAGGTAAACAATAACAAGGATCAGAGTAACCTAATTGTAAGCTCACATTCTGAGAAACCTGAAGAAGAAGAGAAAATTCCGATTGCTGCATCAGACAGTCAGATAAACCATGCCACGGACAGACGTAATTATACATCCGTACCGACTTTCACAGCGAGTGTGATACCTAAGAAGCACAAGGACCCAACAGTTTTGGAGAACCACATTCAGACTGCTAGTGTCCCATTGCAAAACACATCAGAGTCTAAGTCTTGGGCTGTTTTCACAAGTGATGAAGAAAGTGGTTCTGGCCAAGGTACCTCAGATAGCCTTAATGATAATGAAACTTCAACAGATTTCATTTTTCCTGACCTTAATGAGAAAGACACTGAAGGGGCAGTTGAAGCAGGTAACTCAGAATTAACTCCTGGATCATCACAGTCATCAGCCTCATCTGTTACTAGTGATCACTCATCAGTATTCAACATCTCTGAGGCAGGTTAGTTATGGATAAGTCTAATGAATACCATGGAAAGCTGTGAGGGGATACTTTTGTGCCATAGAGAATGAGAAGGTTTATCTACATATAATAAAAGGAGAACATAACAGTGCCAGTGGGTGTGATTAAGGAAGCACTGGGGAAGGGGGTGCATGCTGAGCTGGCTATCTGGTGAATGCTACTTCTGGCTACTTAAAACTGCACCTGAAATATTCTTCAGTAAGAAGATTCATGCTCTGCTTTTGGATAGACGCGTACTGTCAGCAGAAGTTGGGTGGTGCACAATCTAAAACCAGAATGTGTTTCAATGTTAATTGTTTAATTTTAGTTTTAAAGGTTTAAGAGGGATGTAACTTGTCTGCACAAAGACAAGTGCTGTCCTTATAGAAATACACCAGAGGAAACCATGCCTCTGCCAGAGGAAACATACCTCTGAGATTCTGTTTTTTAACTTAGAGCAGCACATTTCCTCCTTGTGTTTTGTTTTGTATTTTCTAAGATGTATTGAGCAAGGAAGAAGATGCTTCAGTTTGATTCTGATTCATCTTACCTCATAAAAACATTCATTTTCATTTTTACTCTGTATGCCACCTTCGGATTTCAGTGAGATGTAGACTTTTTGTGCCAGATTTGCATATTTCCAAAATACTTAGAGTCAGATTCCCCTGTACCTGTTTATATTTAGTGCTGTTTTCCTATTCAGTCCTCTTGAAGTCAGTGAGAGTATTTGTGATCTGTGATTCCAAGGATAAGGTCAGAAGGCAAAACTGAACCTCACATAGATAAAAACCTGATAAATATAAAACATTTCCTGTGTATTTAAAAATTCATTGTGGAAAACCTGAAGTATTCAAACACATAATTTGCATTGCCTCTTGTTAAGAGTATTGAAAGTCCAAGAGTAAAGTCAGAAACAATCTATGATGTTTGAAAAACACAACAACAAACAAGGTTAAATTGGTATTTTAGAAAATAAATTGAACTTCCATTAAGTACTCCCAGCATCTGTAGAGGGCAGTATCATTCAATTAAACCCACTAAGGAATGGAATCCACAAAGCGTGGGAAATTTTCATCCCAGTCCTACAAATACACAGTTAAATCACATGAGGTCGTATTACTCATGAGCAACAGAATGCTAATACAAAAAGGTGGTAAACTGACACTCTGTGTAGCTTGGACTAGTAGAATGTGAAAAATAGAAAATAAAAGAAAATAGAAAACATACAGAAATTAGTAGGATTCCTAACAAGGTAGGTGTTATAAAACTGAATCAATAAGTTAATTAGTTCAGTAGGTAAGTAGTTACCACATTGTGTAAAATGCATAACATTTCTTTAAAAATCAGCAAAAAGAACATCAATATTTCAAAACTTATGTTACTAATGTGAATGAGTGTTACCGTAAGAGATTTATAGTTTACATAATGGGTGTCATTTGAATTGTTACTGATAGTAACTCAAGAAAGATTATACATTACTGGAGTAGTAGTAGTAGTAGTAGTTCAACAGACTTGTCTTTTAGGTATTATTGAAAGACACTATACAGTATCATTTCATGTACATTATTTTTTCCAATAAATGATGCCAAATATTGTCTTTTAATAAACTGGAAATTCAATGTGAGCATGTCTAACATGGTCTCCTGTAAATCAAAGACATCTTTGCTTAATTCAATTATAAAGAAATGAAACAAAACAAAACAAAACAAAAAAGCTCTCAGCTGAGAACTTATTTATACATTACAGTGAATTCACCAGAAATTGATGAAACGTCTTCTTGTTGTGACCATTACAGAAAAAATTGTCATTGAAACTTTTCCTAGTCTTTGTAGTTGTTGATGCATATTTATGCTTGTTCTGAACTAGGGCTTTCTCCATAAGACCTCTATGGCTACCTAAACCTTTCAACTTCAGTTGAAAAACTGTAAGAAAAATTAATATAAAGAAATATGCAAAGGATCCCAACACATCAATTATTAGGGAGCAAAGAAAGCTACTATAGATGAGACTGCCTTTTCAGCTGCCATCATTGGAGTGATTAGGCAAGAAACCCCCAGTTCCATGAGAAGCCTGCTCTTCATTCCCCATAGAAGGAATCCTAATAGGATTTGGTCATGCAGTTTGAAGGAACCCTGTCATCACACAGATAAGACTGGTTTTTACGCTGTGAATTAGTCCAGAGTTGGATAAACAAGTATGAATGCTTCAAAGGGATCGTATTCTGATCTCTCATGCAAACACATAGTTTCTTCTGAAATCAATAGGAAATGCTGATTTTAGCCTACTCACCAGAAAGTCGGGGACAGATTTTCAGAAGCAACTTGTGCCTGCAATCACTTTGCCCACTGAGCTACAAAATTTGAAGAGCAGTGATTGATTTGGCTGTTAAAGTACTTTGAACTAAAACCAAGATGATGTCTGCAAGATCAGAGCCTAGACCTTTTTGCATATAAAGCCCTGAAAGCCCCTAAACTCAAGAAGATGGAGGCAAGCAGAGAGCTGCCTGGAAATCTGTACTGTGTGAAGCTGTTTGTTTTTTGACATCCTATTTAGAACATGTGATTTGTTGTCATTTTTTTTTTCAGATCCAACTCCATTCCCTTCTCCCTTTTGTCTGAAAGATTTTTATTCATGTAGAATTGGTCCCTTGAAATCCCAATGGAGTGCAGCTGATTTCTAGACAGCAAAATTCTGTTCCCACACAGAACATTCATTGAATTAGGACTGTTCACAAAAGCAGAAAACATTCTTAGAAAATCTAGGGGTTTAATTCTAACAAGTGCAAAAGTGCTTATTTCTGTGCTTTAACTCATATAATGGTCACAGGCCACAGTAAACTGCACAGATTGAAAAGAATCAGTCATTTTGTGTCAAAATCACAGTTTTAAAGTATTTACTTCTTGAGGTATGACCAAAGTTAAAAATGCAGGATTGGTCTCATCCACCATTGTGTTCCCTTATTTAATGAGATTATGAAATATATTGTTTTAATCTTCATACAGATTCCTATGCCCAAATATTTCTGTCATCCAGCATTACAAGGCTGACAGAAATGTGAAATCTAGACAATATCTAAATAATAATTTGATCACCTGTAAAGACGGAGGTAGGAAATTTAATTCTGACTCCAGTATAGTTGGGGGAGGAAGTACTGCAATTGGATTCAAAGAGAGCAGGATGTATCTGTAAGGCGAGTTACAGAATGGACAATGTATTAAAATACAGAAGGCTTAACTGCAACATGGCAAGGATATAGAGACTATTGTAAGAAAATTTTCCTATTAAACTATTAGCCAGAGAAGTGATTTGCATTATATGAGTGACAGTTTAATATCAAAATGTTCTTTACACATTCCAGTATTATATATTCAGATTCCTTAACTCAGTTAGCTTTCAGCTAATAAACAGATGAAAATAAAAAACTTTCTTCTCCTGTATTTTAACAACAATCTGCTGTTCTTACAAAGAGAAGTCTCCACTGCTGGAAGGCTGAGTCACATAAGCTTGAACACTTTGCTTTACCCTCTATCTGCTTATTTTCTGTAAGCTGGTTTGCAAATGTATACACTTTCTGCAGTACATAGTTAAAAAATAGAGGTAAGTGGTATTAAGTAGGCTCATTATAAGACACATTCACTCATGCTGTGCATTTCTCAGAATTTAAACATGGACTGTTTCAATTTTCTCTGACTGCAGAGGCAAGTAATAGTAGCCATGAGTCTCGTATCGGTCTAGCTGAGAGTCTGGAATCAGAGAAGAAGACAGTTATACCACTTGTGGTCGTATCAGCCCTGACTTTTATCTGTCTAGTGATTCTTGTGGGTATTCTCATATATTGGAGGTAAGTTGTTTTTTGGTTGGTTTTTTTTTCAGTTCTAAAGAGCTCTGATTTTAAAAATGTGATTGACATTATTGAGCTGGTTTACAGCAGGGAGACTGGATCTTGTCTCTCACCGTGTCTTTGTATTGTTCCCAGTGGTGCAGTGACATAAAGCTCACAAAATAAGGTGGTTTTTGTCCAAAATACTTAACTACAATTCTTTTTGGTTGCAGAGGGTTGAACCATTGCAAAAAGTTTATTTCCATATTGAGAGATTTTAATAAACAATTACTTGTGATTATTAATGCCTAGAAGCCAAGTGACTTAACAGAGCACTGGGAAGAATAGGAGGGAGAAGAAAAATAAATAGCATGGCATGGGTTTGTTTCCTATTTTTCCAATCCCTTAACAGTTAAAAAAGGTAGTTGTCAATTCAGGATGAGAGTCTACGGTCCTCAACAGGAGTATGTGAATAAGCAATTCATATAGGACTGTAGGAGTGTGCTGTAGCTGACATTGTATGCAAGATAGAAATGGAATAGTTTAATGATACTATAATAGTATAAATGTTTTAAGATCACTTAGTGAGTAGCTCTTACAATGTTCTGTGATTAAAAAGTTGTTCTGCTTTGTGATTCTGCCAAACCAAAATTTGCCCCCCAGCCTTTCAAACCATTCAGCAGGTAACTAAGGATGCGTTTCATGTGCACACACATGCTCAGGTTCCCTCATGGGCGTGTTTCTCTGTGACTTGATAAATTGATAAGACAGTAAGAAAAAAAATTAGGCTAAAGAGAAGTGATAGCTATAAGAAGTCATGATAACATAATCAGTGAGAGCAACAGACTATATCTGTGAAATAAAACAGACCAGGGACTCTTCTCCAGGCCCAGCTGACATGGCACAGATCTCTTCCGTACAGCTGAAGTCTCTTCCCTCATGGGAAAAAAACAGAGTGGCTGCATTCACATCACCTACTGGGGATGGTCTCTGTCCTGTGCTAACCCCAACTGTGTCAAGTGTTGTGTGAAATAGTGCAAGTTGGCCTGAGCTAAAAGCATACCAGGAATCTAGTTAGCCATGTGGTAGTATGTGGCAGTGCTCAAGCTTTTGTCTGGCTCTGTTTCCTCGGTTCTAGATAAAGGCAGAGAGTCTTCCTAGGGACAGATCTGCTTAATCTTTCATAGGGCTTCCAAAATCCATGCACAACCCTAACACTTTCTCGAGTGTGCAGGTTGCCAGGGAGGAAACGCAGTGGTTCAGAAGGGGGAAATAAGTTGCAAAAACTTCCTGTCATGGAGATTCTTGCTCTTTGGTGATTGCCAGGAACCTGATCCTATTACTGCTTCTGTAGTGCTACCATGTAAACTAGCAGCAAAAAACAGGACCTTGCTCTTCCAGGAGCTGTATGAACAAGGGGGAAGGCAGGCCCAAACACCTCGCAGATGCTGCCAGAGCTTGTTTCTTCCTTTTTTTTTTCCTCCCCTACTCAATCCTGCTTAATCTGAAATGTATAAAAGTGTTGAAGAACCAGGAACTAGACCCCAGACTGCCCTTTCCAAGCTACTGACTACTGTAATCTCTAGGCTATGATGTCAGGGTTGTGCTTAGTGACTTTTCTTCTAGTCTCCTGACATTGGTTTTCTATTGGCCCAGCAGGGTATGTCCCACACGGGGACAGAAGACATCCTGTCCCTGAACAGACTAGGCTTAAGAAATTGAGTTCAAGCTTCGTTTGTTCCAGGCGAGTGTGCTAGCAAGTCAGCCAGCCTTCGGCATGATTAAAGACACTTTTAAGCAATGAATTTTCAGAAAGATTTCTTCTTCTTTCCAAAGAAGTAGTTAATTGCCGTAAGAATTGCGCAACTCATTTCTTAGTTTATGTCTGTTTGGATAATTATACTGTCCATCACAGGATTTCCAGCTAGCCACTTTCATATTGAGAACCTTTTTCTGTCTTTCACGTTACACAGGATGAACGTTCATATTCATCTTCCAAAGGGTTTCATCCCTGAGGCTAAATAGTATTTGAAATCTTTTCTATTTGCCAAAGAACACCATCCATTTTAAGACCCAGATTGTACAGTGCAGTTCTATTAATCCTACACGTTACAAGCTTGTTTTTGTCGAATAACATTGTGTTCATTTCGTATTCTTTCTCTGGGAATGAACAATTCTGTAACATAGGTCTTTCAAAATAAAACAAAAATCCCGTTAGCAGTAATATCTTCTTGAACTTGAATTTAATCTTTCCTGTATTTCTTGTGTACTACAAAATAAAATATGGAGCTCTTTTTTTGTTAATCCTCAAGAAAATTTTCTTGGCATTATGATAACACCAGTAACATGTTTCTTATTTCAGAGGAATGAAACATAAACAGTATGTATTGTAGGTAGGACTTTGTGGCCCTCTTTCAAAGGTGCCAAGACCCTCACCTCTTTTTAAAGCCTGTGAAAAATCAGAACATTAACTTTATTGCTATGCAGTTTTATTTATGCCTGGGAAATACTAGTATAAAGTCTACAGCATTTTTGTGGTTAGATTTAGTTGATTTTGAAATAATTGATGTAAGCTGTCAATTTCTTTTTATAATGCTTTTTTTTATGTGGGCCAATTATTTTCACTTATTAAAGTTCATAAAAAGCTTAGGCTTGCAAGAAGTTATTCTATATTCCTTTGGCAACAGGACTCAAAAAAATTGCATTGGTATACCCTAGCTGGGTATTTGACTGAACAGTGCTTTGAGTTGTTTCCAGTATTAGCTCCTAGTTTAAATATGCAAAAGGTGTGTTTAATATGCAAAAGGTGTGTTATTTAGTTTAAAAACCAAAGAACTACCAAGAGCGACAAGTTCCAGTTTTTCAAGGTTAAAAAAAGGCAAAATTATTTTGTTCTTCACGTGAATTATTTGTATCAGAAAAATAATTCTGTACCATCTGTTGTTTGGGTTTTGAGGGGGTTTTTTTACATGAAATTGTTAATCAGCACTTGAGGAAATTCCCCAATCTCTTCACTATCTCATTAGGCACAATTTCAATCTTTCTGTGATAAAATATTCATTTCTCTGACAGGGATGAAAACTTTTAATGGCAATATTGTCTAAAGATTGTCTAATTGCCAGTAAGAAAGTATGCAATTTTGAACTACTCTAGTTCTATGTATCAAATCTGTTGTAATTCAAGCAATTTTCAAGCAATGTCATTTTCCTTTCATTTCTTCAGCATGATTAAGATTACAGTGGAATAAACGAGGAGATTCTTTTGCCTGTTTAATGGCCTTGTCATCCGGATAGATTTTTTTTACAGCTTTAGAGAGAATTTTCTATCCAGATCTAGAGTCTATCCATCTCTCTCTAGTCTATCCATCTATCTACTTGACTGGGTCCTTGCAGCAGAGATGCAGCAGGGATATTTGAATCTCCTTGCTCTGTTCTTTTCATTTCTGGATGGCTTCATCTTTCCCATTTTGCTGAATTAACCTTACCTGTTAAGGTGACTGAAATTGAAAGTTTCTCTGTGTCGACATAGAATATACTGGAAATTGCTTATGCGTGTGTGTACTCTTTTGGAACAGTTCATAGAAATGATCAATGAAAATAAAGCTGATGAAATGATGTATAGGAAGAAAAGTCAGGCTATTTGTGCAAATCAATTTTTATAATTGTTATCATAAGAAGAGCTTGGAAAATAGTAAAATGGTAACAGTTGTCAATGGGAGTTGTACCATTCAAGATTTTTTTTCAACAAATATATATGAATCTCAGTAAGAGACTAGCTCTAATAATGTGAACAGCAAACTGCTAATGCAGTTCCAGCTACATTTCTATCTGTAGACATACTGAATATCAGCTGGCTGTCATGAAGCCTCCTAGAAGTTACAGAGAGCAATGCTTCAGAAATGACCAACCCAGTGACAGACAACACCCCGAGTAGTCATTTAAATTTTAACTTTCCTCTACCACCCTCTATCTTTGAAACACAACTGTCAGAGAACATGCATTTTCTTATCCATGATTTGAACCGATGCCTTGAATCCTGTGTTAGGTTTATGGGAACAGAGCTGAGAACCCTCTGTAAGGATAATTAAACTCACAAATCAGAGGCACGCTAAAAACAGATTTAAACCTATAAAGGCCACACTCATCCATCCATGACGGAAAAACTTCTCAACTATGTAACATCCAATTATAAATAAAAGAGTTAATAAAATTTGAAAATTAAAAATTGATCTGACAAGCACTTAAAAATTGATAGGAACCATTTAAAAATGGAGTAATTGAAATCATTGGATCCCTTGAGGATCCATTTAAAAATCATTTGGAACCATCAGATCTTTAAATGATCAGAACCATTTAAAAAAAATTCTAATAAGTGTTTGAGGATACCTGTTGGGGGATGTCCTGTGAGCACAAAAGACCCTGAAATTCTCAGAGAAAGAAGTAATCATGCCTCTAAGACTAATCTGGGCAAGCACTGGATGTGCAAACCCATCCTGTCACAGATGCCTCTGACTTCCGAGGTTCAGCTCCCTTCCTCAGCCGACACGAGCTGCCCACGCGCACGCTCGCAGGCGCACACTGCGCCACGCTGTGTTGCCTGCCTCCGTGACAATCCGAATCAAGCCCTGAGCAGTCCCTGCCCCTCGGGGGAGAAGTAGGCAGCAGGTATCCTCAGCCCAGCTCCAGGGGCCCATACGCCAGGAAAACGACGTCCTCTGCAGTCTGAGGCATAGTCTTGTCCCAAGTAGTTCACACTGAAGTGTTCTAGTAGAGAAGAGATCTAGTATCTCTCCTGTTAAACTGAAGAGCTGCTGCTGCGTGCCTTGCTGTACAGATACAGATGCTCTAATTAATTCAATGGCTTAGCACTATCTCCATATATAAAGTGTGTGTTCGAAGAAGTGCGGTGTCTAAATTACAAATTACAGTTTTAGGTTGAAGATCTAAATGCTGTGATGAAAGGTGTAAATTAAATAATCAGGTTAATATTAAGTGATGGGACCTTTGTCTGGAAGTTTGAAATAGTCATCACTTTTTTCATTAACAACAAGTGATAATTAATGAGACATGGTTATTAACATTAGGTTTAGTCATGAAGGCTTTCACTGCTGATGCAGAAGCAGATGGAGTGCCTATTTATGACTCTTATTACAGGTTAAGTCAATTGCTATGAATTTGTCTCCCAAATGTGCTAAGGGTGTAATTTATTTTCAGCCACAATTAACTTGTTAAAGATTAAAGCTACAGTGGCTCAGTAAGGGATAGTGAATGTATGGCATATTATGAGGACATTTTAAGTACTGCTTTAGATGTGAAAGCCGTTATGCTAATTAAATTCTTTTTAGCTCAATCTTTTCTCAAGGAAGGAGGTGACAAAACTCTGTAATGTTAGTCCATAAACTTTATGTATGATCACTGTTCATAAGCAGTAGGCATTAGGGGGAGGACATTTTTTGGTTTTAGAGCTTTAATCATAGAATAGTTTAGGTTGGAAGGGACCTTTAAAGGTCATCTAGTCCAACCCCCCTGCAATAAGCAGGAACATCTTCAACTAGATCAGGTTGCTCAGAGCCCTGTCCAACCTGACCTTGAATGGTTCCAGGGATGGGGCATCCACCACCTCTCTGCACAACCTATTCCAGTCAGGCTGGTTGGCATGGTTGGTTGGTTGGTGCTGTTTTTAATAAACACAGTACATCAGCATTCTCCATGCCCAGCAGGCAGGGCCAGACTTTCCAAAAGTGTTTAGTGATTTGAAGTGCTTTGATACTTGCCTACCTCTTACAGACATTTTGCACACAGTCCTGAGACTAACTCTTGAGTATTATGCTAGCATTGAGACAGCCTCTCTCACCTCAGCAGCCAGTAACTCTATGGGGTGCTAATGTTAGAGCCTCTTTGAAAATTAGAAAGATGTTCCCATATCCTGAATGTGTTCTTGGTCTGCATCCAAAATTGCCATTTCTAAGTAAAACTGAGTACATAATGGGTAGTCTTACTCCAAACATGTCATGCAAAGCCGAAGTAGGAACTATGACCATCACAAATATGGTTTTAGAAGATTCTAGCTGGACTCCAAATTTAATTCTCATGTGAATCACCAGAACTATTTTGCATGCCACAATTTTCCCTTTGATGTAGCTGTCCACTTTTTTTTGTGCTTTAAGAGAATCTGCATTGTGCACAGACAGAAAATTCCCAAAACATTCCAAGAGTATAGGCATGTTTCGCAGAGGCTTAATTCAAATAAGCTTACCAAAGTCTTTATGATCTACATTAATGGTACTGGAAAGACTGACTGTATCCGCATATTCCCTATCTATTTCTCAAAGTAGCCTCAAAATTTCTTTTTGATTATAACAATTATCTGAAAGGTTTTATCCATACAGTGATATAGGAACAGTACAGAAGAATTTAAAACACCAGTGATTACACCGCAGAGGCTTAATTCAAATAAGCTTACCAAAGTCTTTATGATCTACATTAATGGTACTGGAAAGACTATTTTGATTACACAAAATAGCAAAAGATCATATAATAGCTTCAGCCAACAGCTTTGAAGAAGCAGAATCTTGTAAATATAAAGAGATTAATATTTTCATGATGGATATATTTCTTTTTAAATGTAATGATTAGTGAATAATGTTTCAATAGATTAAGTGACCCACAGTAGAGATTGTTATTAGCATGTCTAATCATACGGAGATTTTTAATTAAGGAGGCTTTGCAATGCTTACAGCAGCAGTTGGTTGTTTAGTCCCTTGAATAGCTTGGACTCTTAACAGATGCTATTCTTATTATCTTCACATCTGGATTACAGCACAGATACAAATAACATTGTGGGTCATAGGTAAGGTTGATTCCATTTGTATTCATCCTTTAATGTTTTTGCCACAAAGCTAGCATCTCCTGGAGTTATAAATTCCCCTGTCAACTTCGGGAAGTCCTCGTTGGTTAAGCTGTCCCTCAGTGTTGCAATTACATTATGAAAAAATTGTTTAGCCCCAGTCATACTTCCAGAGACGCCGTTTTGTCTGTTACAGGACATGTTGCTTTTTATTGCATTTCCGTGTCTGCAGTAGGATCTATCGATGAATTACCAGAACTGATCTCATACACTGCTTCATCTTCAGGCTAGCATAATCACATGAAAGGGAACAGTAATTATGTGTGCAAATTCGGATAAGGAAGGAAGACAATGGCATTTTTTGTACTTGGACTTGTTGTGCAGCATCTACAGTAGCTCCTGTTGCAGAGTTCCTCTTCCAGCTTTCACTATGTCTGATGTGTGCTGTATCTTCTGCCTCTGGTATAGGTAAAGATGCATGAACTATGTATTATGCTGAGTTGATGTAGTATCTTCAAGTTGTATGCATAATTCGGTGGTGTGTTGGGGGAATATTTATATCATAGCAGTAGTATTCGACACTCCATGAAAACTGGCTTTCAAAACCATGATTTCTTTGTTACTCAATAATGCCAGAATTCCAAAAGGTCTCAGATTTTTTTTTTTTTTTTTGCAATATTTATTTATGTTTCTTACCTTCTAGGAAATGTTTCCAGACTGCTCACTTTTATTTAGAAGATAATACGTCACCTCGAGTGATTTCTGCTCCCCCAGCTCCAATCTTCCCAGTCTCAGGTATTTTTGTCAACTGTTCTGTGGATTGGTGTTAGCTGTTGGAAGATGCTGCCTCGTATATGTCCGTATGAATTCTTCACAGACTGTAATATCTGTAAACCAGAGATTTGTATCCCCTTGTACTAATAAACACAAGTGTACTTGATGGAGGCAGAGAGTAGTGTTACTAATATTCTCTCCTGTAGGAAACACAGAAGAGAAATATCCTCACGTTACAGAGTTGTCTCAAAGATACACTGTGCCTTCTAGCCATTTGAGGGGTAGCCTCACTAGAAATGGCTGCTAGTGTAGCCATCTGAGCTACACTAAATAGCTCTGGTTCACTGTCACAAAGCAGAGGATTACACCAGCAACATATTCTGCTGTATTTCTGCTTTTAAGTGAATTTGTCACCTATGTATACAACATGACCTATTCTTTTTGCCAGCAGGACCAATATATGCCTCATCTATCTGCATTTCATTTGCAATTACGATGTTTTCTTTAACTTATAGATTTTACTAGTATAGTTACTACTGGTAAAGTTCTCTGTGAGCCTCTCATAAAGATGATACACAAGTGCAGAATATTATTAGCATCTTCTGGTTCCATATCCACTACAGTTATTTGGAGAAACTGTTCCTTTTCTTTCCTCCTCAGAGAGTATCAGAGGAGCATAGGCAGCCCTCCCAGCTTTTTCAATTTGAGTAGAATGAAAAGTACCTTAAATAGATTAATTCTGCAGCAGATCCCAAGCCACATTTTCACCCATGAGAAAAGGATATCTTGTTCCACAAGTAATGCTTTTGCAAACTGTGCTATTACACAGGGGGATGGGTTTCCTTGGAATGACTAAGGGAAGCAAAATCGGCCCTTGTGTAGATAACTAGTAAACACGTTTCATTAAATAAATCCCAAACATTAGACTTCTGTTGTAACAGAATTGTAGGCATCTTTAAATGCCTCTTGTATTGATTGCTATCGTTAGGAGCCACATAACATTTTTCTAAATGGTTAACATATAGCTTGATTTCAGAAAACATGTGATTATATATGAATGTCAAGTGGCAATCATTATAGGAAATCTCTGCTCTTACTCTTTATCATTAACTGTATTGCAGTACAACTGTATAATTTTCTTGCAATTTTTTCCTAACCAGCTCACCTCAGGGAGATAGTGTTTTCCATTGCTATAAGACAGAATTGCACTTCCAGTTATTCTGAGTGCTTAAAATATGTGTTTTGATGCTGGACGTTTTCCTTCTGAAATACTGATAAATATTAACTTAAAGAGAAAAGTGTTTCTAAGTGACTGAAAGATACATAAAATACTTTATGGAAAAAGCTGCAAGTCCTGAGGAAATATTTTTGTTTCATTTTGTGTGCAGCAGACGTCAAGTGAGCAGTTTTTGTGTTTTCTATTGCACAAGTGTTTGAGCAGTGTAATTTTACCACAATTGAGACTAACTGTGATATAATACTGGCAAAGAGCGTAGAGCAGGAAGAGCATTTTGTAACTACTGTTTAATTTTTTATTATGGCTATGACTAAAAGCACACTCCACAGTTCTCATTATATATTAGGTTTTCCTTTTGTGGGGTTTCATTGGCAGAGATAGGAGAATTGCAGTTATTCACAGAAAATGCCCTGGCACTTCACAGCGTAATTCAAAGATGCATTCAGAACAAATAATGAATTACAGGGTAATATTAGGACCCACTATTAAGTAGTTTCAAGTGATACCTGCCATCCAGATACAAAATATATTCCTGGAGTCAGAAAGGATTGAATTGGGAGATTAGCACTGGCAAGGAAATAAAACAGTAATTACACCAAACCTGAGATCTCTTTCTCCCTTACTGTCCTCGCTCTTGGGGTCATTTACCTTCCCTTCTGGTTTTGTGTTTGCATGTCATTAGAATAAACACTTTATGCCAGATTTCATCTCCAAAGTGTGAAGATAGTGTTACACATTTGTTCAGCTTCTCTTAGGCTTGACTGGATAAATTCACTTTTTGTATTCAGATCCATTCATATAAGTGGAAGACCAGATGGATCTCAATACAAATCAACAAATTCTTGGTAACTGAAAGCTAAAATTATTAGGTGGCCTAAATGCTGAACATCTGTTGATGTAAATAACAGGTCCTTGTTCAATGTTTTTGATGTTTTTTTCTCGTATGAAACAGTGATGAAATTACAAATTGTGAAATAAAAATATTTTTAATCCATGAAAGGCTTTAAAAAAAAAATATTCTTCAGAACTAAAACTAGCTGAAATAATGTCATCTTTTAACAGGCAATTAACAGAACAGATGACTTTGTTTACACAGCATATTTGCAGGAAAGAGAAGATTAAAAGTCCCAAAGGTTTTTGACATGATCCCTAATGAATGTTCTACACAAGAGTGTTTTTCTGTATTTGTATAAAGTAAAAAGGAGACGTTCTGAAATATAAACATCAGATGGAAAATTCAGACTGAGTATCAGGACCCAGAAGTTGCGTGAATCACATTTATTGGTTGTAGATATTGTCTTTGTGGGTATCCAGAAAGTCGTAAACTTAAATCTTTCACTTAAAACTTGAAGTATAAAGCCTGATGTGAAAATTTGCAGTCAATACTCCCAGGATCAGACATAAGATTATTATCAATAGATAATCATAGAATCACGGGGAGAATGGGATAAAAAATCCTACTGGAAGTACTCACTAATGCAATAAAAGATGAAAATTAGTTGTTGTTTCCTTTGGATGCCAACGCAAACATGCAACACATCTGTTTACACTACTGGCATAATGCTGCATTAATTTAGTAGACTTGGGACTATGCGGCTAGTCCAGGTACTGTGTCAGAGTCCCAGTGCAACACTAATCAGCCGAAAGCACCCAGACGACTCTGCCTGATCATTCTTTCTTTATCAGTACTATTCAGAGTTCTGCTCCTACCCTCTCCCTTTGAACATCTTGTAGCAAACTGCTAATCCTCCTATTTCCCCTTGAATTCACAGGGAGTTCTGAGTGCTCTTCAATGTACAGACAAACTCAGCATCTTGCAGAATCAGCACCTTGATTTTGGGGGCTTAAAGAGCAAGACCTAGCAAGGAATTTTCTTCTTTCCAAATAGTCATTTAGAAATGTATAAGTGTTAGAGAATTATTTTAGAAATGTTAATGGTGTTAAAGAGTGTTTTTATTTTTGTGGGAGTTGTATATCCAAAGTTCATGCCAAAAATTTTATTTCAGGGTGTTGCCTACATATAAACTTCTTTATATGTCACTGGCTTTTTATTCTTCATAAATATATTTTTTGTCTTTTCCCACCCCTAAGATGATGTTGGAGCAATTCCAATAAAGCATTTTCCAAAACATGTTGCAGATTTACATGCAAGTAATGGTTTTTCTGAAGAATTTGAGGTATGGCTCTATGACGTCATCTTTCTTCTTGGCACATACAAATAATGTTAAGTTTAAATGCCTGGAAACAAAGAACTGGGCATTACATTCTGACTTGGGGACTAATTTCATAAATGCATGTAAATATAAGTACTATGAACCCAGTAAGGACTGTTTATGCATAAAAGCTAGGGAGATTTGTAAAAGCTAGCAAGACTGGGATGCAAATGGGAATGTTTATCACTGTGATGAAATACTACATGATTGTGTGAATAACTATGCAAAGATAATGCAGTCTGTATGGTTTATCAGATACAGTTGTAGATCTAAAGCTTTTCCAACACTAATGCCAATTGAATTTTGCAATAGCTGCCCACATTTACTTGCTCCATTTACAGAGAAAAAAAAATGGAAGTAATAATGAGTACATGTGGCAAGACTTCTGATGAACAGGGGAGCTAATGTAGTCTTCATATGTGATAGTGAAAGCTTTACAATTCCTTTCCTAAAGTATATGATTCACAAGAAGTATTTCAAAATTTTGAAACATATGCTCTCATCATATAATGTTACTATCACCATATGTAACTAATGAACTTCATTGTTTTTCACATTTGTATGCGTTACAAGCAATTTAAAGATAGATATGTTCTAACTTAAGTCACATAAAATAAACATTATAAACCTGTAATTAACTCTGTAATTAAAGCTGTGCTATTAAAATTCTTGACAAGTGATTTCTAACAAAATCAGCCAGTTGGGATAGAAACAAGTTTTTAAATTTATGTCTATTAATTTAAAATATGATCCTGCTGCAAAACCAATACTGAAAGTAAAAAAAAAAATAGTTTTGCATCTTTTGGTTTTGCTTTTGCTTCCCCAGCCAATGTGTTGTGATCTAATGGACCAAAAATTCCATGTCATTCACCTAGCCTTCTTCATCAGCGTTTCTTTTCCAATTCATTTAACATTGAGAATATCCATCTGATTGTGGGACCAAACTTGTAAATACTTGTGAATGTCCAGTGCATGTTCATATGTTACCATGTGCATACGCACTGACAGGACTGGGCTCCACCTAGACTGGCTGTTAATAAGAGCAGATGTTGAAGGACTGTGTGTAATACAATGGTAATAAAGTTCTTTCACCATTAGTGAGGACAGCAATACAGAAATCAAATTGTTCATCCTAAATTGTTCTTCTCCTAAAATTGTTCTTTTCCTAAATTACAGCAGTGATCCAAAGACCAAATATACTACATCTCACTGAGCTACACCCACACTATCTGAAATATTTCGTGTTTGTTTTAACTATCACAAAAAATTCAGTGTCCTCATCAATTCTTGGAGATTCTTTTTGGCTTTACAGACTACCCCAGAATTAGTGTCCTCGTCTTTTCTCTAATGATAAAGAACTTAGAAGATATGGAAAAATTGAAATATAGTTATTGTCTTTGCAGAGTCAGCATACATTTGGACAGTACAGGGGTGGTTCACGTTTTTTTATTTATATTACTATAAAACAACTCATATTTAAAATCTGATTTTCAGACTGGTAACCATTTTCCACATATATATATTTAAATAGCTGAAGGTGATTAATATTAAAATAAATCCTAAAAAGTGTTGGGAAACATTATTATAGTACTTTTAGTGATGACACATATTTCCTACTTAAGAATGTGGAACTTATAAATGCTTGAGTTTCCTGTCAGTCAAAGTAATCAATAAAATAAAATAAACTAATTAAGTGAGTCTTACAGACTTTGTACCTGTCTTCTCATGCCTGTCTCTTTCTTTATAAAAACGTTGGGTTCATTGAGAAACTGGTGGCAGACTGAGGGCTGTAATGCTGTCCTTCACCAGCGTACCATGAGGCTGGCTGAGCGGCACGCTCTCCTGCTCCAGGGAAGGTTTTACAGCTGAATTCAAAGAGAGCAAAAGCATTCTGCAGAGAAACTAATGCAGTTATAAGGACCAATAACAAATCCAATGAACAGCTAAATATATAGATAATCTGGCTAAAGTCATTGATGTTGCTCACATGTATAAGCTTTTACCAGCGTAAGGTCTAACATTAAAGCTAAAGATAGGAAAACAGATGCCAGTATTTTATCAGGAAAATTACCTCGTGTTTCCTTTAAGAGTTATGTCAAAATATTCAGCTTTGTTGTTACTACGGAGATATGTATTGCATGACCATAACTGTTTTCCATATAGTAATTGTAATTTATATAAACACTTTTATCCATTTGTTCTGTGCTGTGGAATTTGATTTTTTTTTACTTTTTTTGCATTCATTCCCTCATTAGACACTGAAAGAGTTTTATCAGGTAAGGAATTATTTCACTGCATTTTTTTTTTAGCAATGAAGTAGTTGTAAAATATCATAGATAATTGGGTATAAGGTTGTGGTTCTTTTCATGCTGACTTACTATATTTTAAGACATTTTATGTATCTTAATACTTACTAACATATGACATACTTTTTTTTTTTCAGGAAATCCAGAGCTGTACTGTAGATCTAGGTATTACATCAGACAGCTCTAATCACCCCGACAACAAGAATAAGAATCGATACATAAACATTGTTGCTTGTAAGTAAATGCATTACTTGGTGTTTTGTTTGAGAAATAATTATAGGCAAGTATAGATTTATATGTTATTAGAGGGGAAAAAAATACCTCTACATGGAAAGCTCTGGCTACTGTTTGGCAAAATGCTTGGAGAGGAGTAGCGTGCAATTTCACATGTCTTCAAGTTAGTCCTCTGCTGCTTTGATGAGCGTGTGTTAGCAAGACATATTTGTATCTTCTGTGATGACCCAAGGGAATTGGGAGATTTCATTATAATGCCATTATAAAGCCAAAGAAGCTGTGTTTTGATTGCCAAAATTAATCCATCTTTGATCTGGAATAATGATGATTTATCCTCTCTAGGAACTTCAAAATCCCTGGATATATTTACTGTATATATAAATATAAATGTACTGGGTTTATGTTGTATTGTGCCCTGCCACAATGTAATAGATCAGCTCCATTAGCCAGGACACACGTTTTCCCATTGCGTCGCCCTTCTTCCCTATCCCAGATTTTTTTTTTCTGAAACACATTTATTCAGTTTTGTTAATCTCTCTTTGAAGCTATTTCCTCTGGGCTCTGGATCATTTTGGTGGCTTAATATATTTTTCTTAACTCTCTATAGTATTTCAACTTTGTTCTGATAACAAGAAGCTCTAAATTAATATATGTTCAGCATTCAGCATCACTAGAGCTTAATAGAAAAAGAGACAGAATCAGCCCATCTGGCAGAAGACAACGTAAACCAGCAGCAAGAAATCCCATTCCGCCTGGCTGAAGATACCTCTAGAGGGATGGAAAGTCAGGGATTTTCCTCTACCACTCTGTGTTTGTACCTGATTGTACAAAAGGTGCCAACCCAGTGGCTTTTTTATCAAAGGGCAGTGCGCAAGCAGCTTAGGGCAGCTCAAGTAGCAAGAATTGCCCTGTGCAACTGAATCAGGTCTCTAGTCGTTATAATCAGTGCAGGCTACAGAAAGCTTCAGCTCTCCCTGAGGTAGCCACCGCTGAGGTTCTTCAGCTGACCAGCTTCTCCAAGGTCTCATTGCTCTCCGGTCGCTGCCCTTTAACTTGGGATTAATGTGCCTAGACACTGGTGCCTACTGTCATTTGAGACATCCCACTGTATAGGCTTGGCAGTCGCGACACAGGACTTAGAGAAGACCCGTGCCCCTTCACAAGCAGCAGCTGGAGGCTGCAGGGGAATACATCACAGTGCCTAAAATGATCCCAGGTGCTGTTCAGGCAACTAAATTCTGTATCGCTTGAATCCTTGGATTCATTAGTTTATTTTCCTGCAAACTAGAATTTTGAATCTGATTCATACCTAAGCACAGGATGTTTGCATACGTGATTGTCACTGTATTAGTCTTATGTATTGTAAAAATCCATTTCAGTATTTTTTAAAAAGACTTCTTATAGAAAGAATATAATTCTTGCAGAAGACTCTGCTTATTTTCTCCCTTGTTTTACTACAGATGATCATACTAGGGTTAAATTAGCACAGCTTGCAGAAAAGGATGGAAAACTGACTGATTACATTAATGCCAACTACGTTGATGTAAGTGCCTTTTTCTATCTGCCAGCCTATTCCTCTGTCAGCCTTTGCTGTAAAAACTGATATATGGAGGTGAATAGACTTAAAAAAAAAAGTATGACAATATTACAGGTTTTGTTAAAAAAAACTTTAATGATCTAAGTTAAACCTACAAAGTTAAAGCACAGGTAAAACTCCAATTCTTTTTTCAATCCATCTTGATATTGTAGCATCTGCAGCTTAGCAAAGAGCCTTATGAAACAAAAAATGTTCTGTCATATCTGAGTCATTTTAGAAGCATTTAGTTTGTTCTTTTATACATTTTTGGTAAGTGGTTAATTCTTCTGATAATCTCATGAGAGGAAGATGCCATTTGGCTGAGTGCCTCACCAAGGTACCATTTATTCAATTTTTGTTACCTAGTATTTACATGTGAATGATCTTGATTCATTTTTTAAACCATTATCATAACACACGTCTCATAATCACTATCATGTCAACATTCTGCCGGAACACGGGCACTTGAACATATATCCTGTTTGTTGGAATGATAAACATTGACATAACAGTTGCATTCATAGGTCATCTGGTATCACAGGGCTTCTGCGATTTGGATAGTTACAAATTCAAAAGTACTTAAAAGCTTTTGAGGTTCTTTAAAAATAGATACATAATATGTCATGTACTCCTCCCAACCTCCTTTTGCTCGCAAACTGTGATTTGACAAGTGTCATTTGTTACCTTTCAATTTAGGGCTACAACAAGCCAAAAGCCTACATTGCAGCTCAAGGGCCACTAAAATCGACAGCAGAAGACTTCTGGAGAATGATATGGGAACATAACGTAGAAGTTATTGTGATGATAACTAATCTCGTTGAGAAAGGAAGGGTATGAGAACCTTTCTCTATTATTTATTTCTCTGATGTTGATAGATCTACCTCTAGCAGACTCCTTTCTCTCTTTTAAAAATCTAGTTTAGGCATTTATTGAGCGAAAAGCAACAGCTTGTAGTAGTTGTATAGTAGTACTATATAGAAGTATAAAGTTGAGGATTTGTAGTATGAAACTAAAGAAAACATTTAAACTCAATTGTCAACAACAAGTCTTGAAAATACTGTGTTCTACCTACAAAAAAAATTGTCTTATATTGAAAAAAAGACTTCTTGTGTATATTTAGGAGTGGCCAGACTGTAGACCTTGTGCCACATTCTGCAGCAGTCTATTCTCCGTCATTCTCTTTCTCAGGGGTGCCTTAGACCCTGGAAAGGAGAAGGCTGTAGTTCGCGTGAATTTTTCTGGGTATTCACCGGCTGCTCCCTTTTAACATCCTGTGGGACCCACAGTTCCTTTCCTACTACATGCCTAGATACACGTTTGTCCAGTGAGACAAAATGAGGTCAAAGCCCATCACAGGATGTGTGTTTCTCTGGTTATGTGATGGGAATATGCATGTACCCTGGGGTCACATGAGGAGACATTGCATTACACTTGCCACATACTGGCAGCAATGCCTAAAATGCATGTAAGTCTTGTCATAAGCATCTATCAGATGATACAGACACAGCAAATGTAGATAAGGGCCGCACGGGGAGTACCACTTCATTTATAATACCATGCTATAAACATGTACTCTTCTAGTACTCCTAGAGAAGGCTATATGGCTACCCAACCAAAAGGCTGGACATCACAGCTCTCTACTGTATATTGTGGCCACACACAAGCTCACTCTTACCTCACTGATCAGATAATTATACTCTGCCCATGCTATGAACTAACCAAAAGCCACATACGACTCTACTGACTTAAATGTAGTCCTATTTTTCCTATAGATTATCTGTTATTTTCTTTAGATTTTAGAGTGCCTATAGAATGGCAAGTTCCACAGTATTAGAGCCCTTTAACTCTGATAGTATGATTTAAACCTCTCTTTTTTGGAGTATTCCAAATAAAGAGCATCTTTGCACAGCCATCTCTCTTTACAGCATAAAATACACATTATTTGTTTTCTTACGCTGAAGATCATGTCTATTATAAACTGGGTATATATGTTTTTGTGGTTGACTGTGCTCTTAAATTTGAACACTTCAGCTTGCTAGTTTGACATTTTGTTTTCTTTCTCTTTTTCTCTGTTTTTCATTTGCTTTCTAACAGAGAAAATGTGACCAATACTGGCCCGCCGAAGGCAGTGAAGAATATGGGAACTTCTTGGTTACTCAGAAGAGTGTTCATGTACTTGCCTATTACACTGTGAGGAATTTTACTCTTAGAAACACCAAGATCAAAAAGGTTTGTGGCAGCCTGTCGTGGTTTAACCTGGCCAAAACCAGGACACAGCCTGAAAACATAGTTTGGGCAAAGGGGGAGTGTTAGAAGTTGCTCAGAATATTTTTAAGGCAGTTGGCAGCTCTTTTCTGTTGTATAGGTAAAGCTGAATCCTGTAGGTCTCGGCCAGCCAAGTTGCTTATCAACTTCAGAGTTAATTTGACCAGATCAACAAATTGAGAAGATAGTGGCCTCAGCTATCACTTCTCCTTTTTAAGGACTGAATTTTTACCCCCTGCAAAACAGGTGAATCCACACCTTGTTTTATTGTAATCAGAACCAGGACGCTCTCAGCTCAGCAGCGTGACATTGGCTATTTGAGGGGCGTTCCAAAAGCTTAATTTATTTCAGCCACCTAAATGTTAAGACATCTAGTCTCTCCACCTCCCTGTACAATTAATGGCTAAAGTACAGCACTTACTGTCAAGTAATTTATTCTGCCTATTTTAGGAACCAATCTTTGAATGAGATGATCTGCTCTCTGAAAGTATCCCTGCCTCTGAGCTGCCATTGAGGGAGGGAGCTTAGAAAAGCAGCCTACACAAGGCTACTTCCCTTGTAGATCACTAAAGTGAGTGAGGTGAATCCTACCCTTTCTGTCCACCCAGCAGAGGAGCAAAGTGACAGAAATAGCTGGTGACTCTTAAGAGCAGCTGTAACTTGTTATCCCTCCAGTGCTCTTAGCCTTTCTCTGTGGCTTTCTAAGGGACGGTGCCAGGTAATTTTTCCATTCAGAGGGCAAGCTGATGGGACAGAAGCACTAGCGCTTCCTCTTCTCTTTGAAAGCTGGAATATTCAGAGCTAGGTGGCATGCTGTTAACTAAATAGGGACAGTACTAATTCAAGAACTATCAGGTACGGAAATAAAATTATGAAGAGTTGCTCTTCAGATGTGGGCTGCTTACATATGGAATTATTTTTCTGTTGCAGGGTTCCCAGAAAGGGAGGTCTAGTGGACGTATAGTAACTCAGTACCATTATACCCAGTGGCCTGACATGGGTGTTCCAGAATACACGCTGCCTGTGCTCACTTTCGTGCGGAAGGCATCGCATGCCAAGCGCTACGCTGTCGGGCCTGTTGTGGTTCATTGCAGGTGTGGTTTTTACCGCTGTAAGGTTCACTCTGCTTTTGTTTTGCAGAAAAAAGAATTTTTCAGTGGTGGGTTAAGCAAAATTTCACTCTCACATTTAACAATTCTTGATGGAATAAGATTAATTTCTTAGCTGATATTTCCATCCTTGGTAAGGCCAACTAATCAACTGTCTGTGCCACTTGTGTAAGTCTTCGTAAACAAGATGCTGCTGCTCTGCACTATGTTCTTTTTTTTGCAAAAATGCTTTTCTTTTTACTTTTTTGCACATTTCTATACTACTCCCTTGATTGCTATGAGCTTACCAGATACATGTATAGCAGTAATTGTTTCATTTCTGCAAATATATCATTAGGATGTTTTTGGCTCATGCTTTCTTTGGTGCAGGGATACTCTGTAATCCTAAGAGGAGCTCTGTCCACAAAAGAAGACTCACTCTATTCCTGGCTGAACTACAACTCTGCTGTTGTTAACATTACTCTGCGCTCTAGCAGTCATTTGCAATGGAGGAGCATTCTGGGGAACGGTTTGAGGTCTGCATGTGCCGCAATGTGCAGGCAGGTGTTCTGTCAGTGCTCACTAAAACTGGGCAGCTCAGGGAAAATTGGTTAAAAAGGGCTTGTAGGGCCTGGAATGACTTCACAATGCCCGTGAAGGACCGGGTTATTGTAAAATATATAAGCAGGTTCTGGTTTTCCACTGTAGTACCTCACCTTTGATGGAACATTTGGAAAGAGAACCTCCTCATGAATTCTGTCCTTCTGGAGCTGACTCTGAGGAAGCCAACAGGTAAAGTCACCTCACAAATGCTGCAAATGAAGATATTTTATTTCTGGGATGATCTAATCTGACTGAAATCCGTTCTTAGCTTGGAAAATGAAAATTCCACATTTTTTGTTGTTCTGCTGCTATTTACATCCTGCCTGTTCTTGGGAAGTTCAAGATAAGAGTTTCCCCAAAATGCCAAGTCTGAGATCTATGCCAGCGGGCTGAGAGATCAGCAATACATTATAAGTCATTACATTGAGTTTTTAAAAAGTGAACAGTGGTAAGTTTTGTGGCTTCAGTCAGACATCTCCATTGGGTCATAGGTATTAACTCGCCTCTGTCTGTAGGCAGTTTTATTCAGCTTTTAGTTCACCTGTGCCCATGCACTATGGAATTTCAAAGGAGTCATCTCATGTTAGAAATGTAACTTTTATTTATCTTTACAGGCTATATGGAGGACACAGATGATGAACTTCATGCAACTTTTTTTAGCTATTTTTATGTTTTGGTACTTTTCATTATTTTGTCTTTCATAACAAGTACAGATGGTGTCTGGTAGTCTTTACACTTTTTTGTGTCTAATAGCGTGTTAATAACCTGGACCTTTCAGATTTATATCGCGTTTATTTAGACAGTCTATTACAGCAATCTGAGCTCACACTACCCATGCTTTGTGCCACCTTTGTGGAAGAAATTAGATGACTGAATTAGCATGTACAGACTGAGCTTGGATCTGCCCGTAAGGGATCATGCAGACCCAGCACAGTGTTGCTGTCAAGTTACATGTACCCGATACACATAACGTTTCCTCATAATTTAGAGAGGGGAATTACAACTGACTAATTCCCATATATGACTAGATAACAAAAAATGACCTCTTGACCTTGTACTCCCTACGCAGATATTTTATGAAAGAAAAAGTTAGTTTTTAATCTTATAATACAGCCGTTTTTCTGCTAAATGAGTCAGAGTTCATAACAGGAGTGAGTTGATTAAGCCTTTCTTCTGCATCTTCCCTTTTTAAGAAGGGTTTCGACCATTGCTTGCCATCTTAGCTGTATCTGAAGAGCACTAAGCTTTTTCTTTTACAGATGTATCTTCAGCAGCTGTGCCACTTCCTGGGGTTTTCCTCAGTTCAGTATCTTTGAAATCTCCTGCATCTGTAATGGGTGGCATAATGCAACTTTCCCTTCAAAGTGATGTGTGTTTCAACATAGAAGAACTTGAGCACATTAACTGTGCCCAAATGCTGACATATGCCACCCTTTCTAGGTATACTTGACAAAGTATCCTAAGGAGTATCAGAAGCTTGAAAATTGCAGACCTGCAGGAAACCCCTTAGTTCTATTTCAATTGATACTTTAAAAATCATTTGAGAAAATGATCTTTAGATCTATTCTTGCACAAAGAAAAAGATGAGTTGAAAAGATTTTTCTTCGTTACCAGCCTTGAAGTTTCAGCAAAGTATATCATATAATAAAACAATTTGTAGAGAATCATCAGTTTGTTGAAAAAGCTATGTATTAGAAACAGTTCTTTTCATTATTGTTTTACTTCAGGCTCAAGACTATTTTCTTGTTTTGTAGTGCTGGTGTTGGAAGGACAGGAACATACATAGTGTTAGACAGCATGCTGCAGCAAATTCAGCATGAAGGAACAGTCAACATATTTGGATTCTTAAAACACATACGTACCCAAAGGAACTACTTGGTGCAGACTGAGGTAAGAATAAAACATATATAGCGAGAGACTATTGTAGACTATTTCTGTTTGCAGGAGGAGTCCTCTTTTTGGCACCGCCAGACAGACTGGCAGCCAGTTACCAGACTGGACTTTCCCTTTTGCTTCCCTTGTTTTTAAAGAGACATCCTTCTAGGTTTGCTTAGAGCAATGCACTACAGAAGTTACCTATCTGTGGGCCCTTGTCTGTTTATTAGGGAGGACTCAGAAGAGAGAAAGTCTGTATAAATCATGTTTCCCGCAGTAGCACTTTCTTGGCAGGGCATGCATTTTTGTCATAGATTTTTTTAAGGAAACGCCATTGTCAGGTGTTCAGATCTTCACTGAACCTGATCAAACAGTTGATATCAGGCAATTAAAAGTAGGAAAAAAAGCTGTTTCAGACAGAAGATTATCTATAGCTGGCTTAAACTGAAGATTATATATAGAATAGTGAAAGGCCGGAAGAAAACAGTAAGGACAACAGCAGGGCATTTGAAAGTCTATTTCAGGTTTCAAGAACAGGTAGTTAGATTCCCCAGTGCCTTTCAATAGAAAAAAAGGTAATCAACAACAGCATGGGCACTTGTTCCAAAGGATGTTAGAGAGAAAATAGAGGATATCAGTAGGAACCAGGAGTGATCACTTTATTGCAAGAAAGGCAGGGAGAGTCGCATAACAAGCTAACTTGAAAATTTGACTCAAGGCTATGCTTGCATTTTTAACTCTGTTCTGTGAACATGAGATACCACAGGTGGTGGGGATTGGTATTATATCATATATACATTGCATGTGTAGTTCAATTGCGCTTGTAAATGTGTACTGTCACTGCGGAGGAACAGCCTTCACTGTAGAGGATCACTTTTGAGAAAACTCCCCTACAACAGCACGCTCTGAAGAAATACTGACCACGTCAGAAGTGGCAGCTTAGCCAGAGGTGTTCAGGGGAATCTGAAAATAATTAGAGCTCGGATATTTGCTTTTATTTTCCTAGGAGCAATATATCTTCATTCACGATGCATTGGTCGAAGCAATACTCAGTAAAGAAACAGAAGTTCTTGAGACTCACATTCATGCCTATGTTAATGCTCTCTTGATACCTGGACCAACAGGAAAGACCAGACTGGAGAAACAATTCAAGGTGAGCTCTCTGAGTTAGTAACACGAAAAGCTTTAGGCTTGCAAGTTTGAATGACTTAGAAGTAGGTATCTCAATACAACTTTCATTAGCTTTCTGTATCTAAAATTTAACTGCTGAGCCTAAATTCGGAGCAATTTAACAAATGCATGCAGTCAGTTGGGACAAAAGAATTATTTGCATGCTCTTAAACAAGGAATTTTTTTAAAAAAAAAGAGCATGAGAAACAGGCCAATGACTAGATTTTGGAAAATCTAACTACGTGCCTTTGCAAGAAGATCCTGAAGGTAAAACAACAGTCCAGAAAGATGTCATTCTGGCAAAAATGTCGTGAGCTATATTGATCAACCAACATATTCCCCTCAGTGTATAGCACTGGCTAGAAGACAGACTTCACCTCAGCAGGTGATGAGTGAACACTTTAGGTGCTTGTGGATGTGGAGATCAGTGTGTACATGCACGGGACTTTCAGTCACCCAGAGAAAGAGCAGACCCAGCCGGGTAACAGCCCAGAACCTATGAGAGAAACAGCTCATTGACTCATGGAGAGAACGTGAAGTCTAGCTCGCTCACTGGGTCACTTATAGAGGAAACACAGAAAATCCTACCTTTTCAAATGAATTTGAATCCAGAAAAGTCAATCGGACTTAAATGTTTTCCAGATTATGTGGCAAAACAGACTTTGCTCTCCCTAATTTAACAGGAAATGAATTATTAGAACCTTTGTCTTTAAGGATTTTAATTCTAAGGAGGACTGCATGGGATAATGTGTATTCTTTCTACAATTAGCTATTGGATCATAAGTAAAAAACTTAAGCCGATAAGTCTGTAGATAATGTCAGTACATAATGAGGCTATGAAAAATATTAAGATATTTATTTTCTGAAGTATTTTGGTCACATAGGCACAGTAACTAGTATTTCTTCAAGATACACAGAACATATACAATACAGAATACAGAACAATACGGAACAGCAGAATAGGAACAACATACCAAGGGATTTCACAGTTTGCTGCTATCCTGGCTTGAATGACCGACAGTGTTGCACTGTTTTTATCTAGGGAAAAGAAGGGACTCTTTTCTCTGTTGTGATGTGCTTGGAGAGATAAGCATCCCACCTTTCCTACACAGATGAGAGAATAAAACTCATAATATATACAAACAGGGTGTGTAAATATATATAAACACAGAGTGTGCAGTGCAAATTGCAGGGGCCATGTAGAGCTCCAATTTCAAGAGCTTAAATCTTATCAGAAAGGGACATGTCTCATTCAATCTCATTTTCCTTTGCAAGTTAGAATTATTAGACTAATAACAAAATAAAAACAAAAATGTGGAGTCTTGTTTAACTGAAGAACTCTTTTAGATGAAAAATATTTGTGGTCTAATTCATTTTGATGGAACTTCCCTGGCTTGCTCTCTGTTTTCCCAAAGCAGGCAGCTTCTGAAAGCTACATATGCCCAGCCCAAAACATCACAGAAGAGTCTTTTGAATTTTTTCGAACGTTCTGATTAATCTGATTGATTTTACTAGCAATCAAAAAAAAAAACCTAAAAAGGAGGAAAAACCTGCTTTCCAAACTTATTTCATGCCTAAGCAGTATATATACAGCATTGTGGTGTATATACATATATACTCATTCCTTCTCATACTCTTGTCTATTTGAATGGTATTAGTTGAAACAAGTAAGTCAATGAGACCCCCCCAGATCAGTCCTATTTCCCTCTCACAGGCTTGGAGAGAAAATCAGGAAGCTCATAACTGGGATATCTCATCATGAGGGATATCCTCACATCAGGAGCTATACTGTCTGTATAACAATGCAGATTTTTCTGCACAGACATTTACTGTTTTCCAAAACTATTAAAGTTATACAAACAGCTGTGCAGGCAAAATGGAAGCAACACCAGGATGGCAGAAAGCACTGTGGGGCTGGATATGGAACAACATAAAGTGTCATTTCCTTCAAAGATATGCTTATCGATCTAGGGCTCAAGAATTATTTGAACTGATAAAACAGTGAAGAAAAAAGGTTCTGAAGACTTGCTAAGTAGTTTAGGCAGATAACTAGATACCTAAGGTTAAGAGAGACAGCTAACCTGCAATACGTGCACCCTTCTGTTTAACGCAGCTAAACTAATGAAGGAATGGCTTTTGTACAGTTACCTGATGTTTTTTAACTTCATTGTTTCAGTTACTGAGCCAGTCTAACACACAGCAGTGTGATTATTCAACTGCACTCAAACAGTGTAACAGAGAAAAGAACCGAACTTCGTCCATCATTCCTGGTAAGCTTGTTCAAATCGGCTTCTCTGGGTGGCAAAATGTTAATGAACTGTGTGTGTCAAACCTTTAATCTTTCCTCAGCAAGAACTGAAGACATCTGCATTGGTGTGGAACAATGTTCTGTAAAGTACTTTTAGTGAAGAAATTATTTAAGTACTACACATAGGAAAATAAAATAGATGGCTGGATAACGGTTCATCCTGACTGATGGAGCTTAGTGTTGTCATTACTCTGAGATATGTGAGATAATTGCTATAATATATGAGTCATTGCAACATACGTACCAGTTCATCACTTTTTTTTACAGTGGAAAGATCTAGAGTGGGTATCTCATCACTGTCTGGTGAAGGGACAGACTACATCAATGCTTCCTATATTATGGTAAGTCACTTAACTGTTTAGGTGAAAAACAGCATCCCACTGTATAGCTGTTTTCAGAGCTGCCACGTGTCTGAGTTAGTGTGGCACAGCCCTGATTTTGAAAGCTCCTTTCTTCCATTATTCACTCTGCCTGAAAGAGTTACTTCCCCCAGGAAGTGTTATTACTGTTATTACTGTTTTTAAGTTTGGTTAAGTGCGTTGCATTTTAACAATCTGTAGAACCAGAAATCCCATCATAGTTTTAAAAACTGGCAAAGCTAAATGCCACCTATGGAAGGATCTTTTGAGACGAACTAAAAGTGTTAACTAACAAGCTAGTTTTTAATGGCTGTACTGTGGTTTGCCTTCCTACCTGCTCATCTTACAGAGCTTTTGCAACTGGCATAGCCCAAGGCACCATAGCTCATCAGCTTTCCATTATCTTTTTGTTCCCTGGGTTTTCTTCAACTCTTTTCCCCTTCATTAGCTGAGAGGGAGGAGTAAATACTTCCTGGACATTCAGGAAAGAGATGGGAAAGCTCCCTGCAGTGCTGTCTATGCATGATCCTTCATCAGGTGCATTAGTGCAAAGGATCTCTCTTTTGTGGTAAGAAATCTGGGACATCTGTACAAATTAAGAGACCGCTAGGAATTTTTGCAGATCTTTCAAGTGTTCTTTTATTTGTTTCAGGTTTCCAGCTCCTCTGGAATTCTGGCTAATGATGTAGAACAATTAGCATGTGTGTATGAGTTAACATATTTTCATTCTGAGTTGGCTGTTCAAGTCTCCACTGGTTTTTTTTGTCTTTTCTTTTGATCAAAATTTTTTAAGTTTTAAAAATTATTTTAATGTAATTGATTTTATTCTTTTCCTCTGGAAAATACTGCAATGGAAGTTTTATATTCTTCTAATACTTGCAGGAAGCCAAAGGAGGCATAAGTCTGCAATTTATTTTCTAGGCTTCTGGCTCTGTCCACTAAAAGCTTCCTTTAAATGTTAATAGTTGGGCATCAATTCTGAGTCTGTTGATTTTGCTTTGCAGGGTTACTATCAAAGTAACGAATTCATTATTACCCAGCATCCCTTACTACACACTATCAAGGATTTCTGGAGAATGATATGGGACCATAACGCGCAGCTAATAGTAATGCTTCCTGATAGTCAGAATATGGTAAGTTTTGTGGCTGATTGTTATGGGTTTATGTATGAATTTTATTAGTACTACCATTTTGAAATATGGCAGGACATGAGACAATATCTTGGATTTTGAAAAAAAACCAACTGAAAATAAATAATACTGTACTGAGTGTAAAATCCCCGAATCATTTAGTGGAAATCTGGAGATTCTTGTCTGAGCAGATTGCAACTGGCATGAGAAAGTATTGAATCGTTCCTATATATTTTATAAAAAGAGCCAAAAAGGAGAAGTAGCCATTATGCAAGGTTAGTTTTTGCTCCAGGACTTTTACTTTAGTTGTAATATGGCTTCTTCAGCCATTATTAGGTAAGGGGAGAAATATGAGGTTGTTTCTCTTGCTCATCTCCTAAAGTTACAAGCAAATGTTTAGCAGGGACTTACCTGACTCTAAACAGCAAAGGAAGCTCACATGTTCATCCTGCATGTGTAATTTAATAGTAAATAAATATGTTTTTCAGTTACTAGAAATGCAGGAATATCTGAGAGCTTTTAGGTTGGTACTTAGAGAAATCTTGAGGTGTAAGAGAGCATCATGTTTGGTAATGAGTTTGGAGAAAAGCCATGCAAATGCTTTGGAGAGTCTTGCATGATTGGAAAACCATGTACAACCAAGACAATGTCTGTTTTTTTCTTCTCATCAAATATTTTATGAACGTTACACTTCCTAGAAAACAGATGGATTTTTAAGTTAGCCCTTGTAATAAGGGAGGTTGTTTTGCCAGGAGGTGCTGGTTCATTATGATCCCAGTAAGAAAGACCCTCAGACTCTGTAAAGTATCATTTAAAATGCTATTTATTAGAGCTAACACTATAAAGGAGAGAGTAGTATAGATAATCTTACATCCCATCAGATAGATGCTGGGAACCCGAGTTGTGCAGCATTGAACGGTTCTCTGATCAAGGTACATCACGCCATGCAGCTCCATCCATGGAAGGGTTACCCCTATTTTGGTCATTCAAACTATTATAGGATTTTTTTAAAAGAAAACAACTCTGTTCATCATTTCTGTCAAACAGAAAGGATGTTCTCATGAGAACTTCTTGCTGCACTTTTAGATAATCCCAAGGCCACGCAAGTGGCGTAATTGTCAGTACAGAGTGGGAGCTGCCTGCAGGCTCCCACGTTACAATCCACCAGCTAAGTTTATCCTGTGGCCATGGGCTATGGGCAGCACAACACAGCCTGAAGGCCAGGCTGGACGTGTGGCGCAGCGCAGCGCAGCACGTGTTGACTGTTTTGTGGGTCACTATCTCCACGGGATACAGTGGTCTTCTGGTCAGGATCACTACAGAGGTGTCTGAAAACCATCACTTGTGATCTTTGTAATCCCACTCAAATTTTGATTTGTCAATTTAAATCTAGCTGGCTGCCTTGATTACATATGTGACACAATTTTTATTATGTTGGATTAAGTTTTATTTTAAGATCTCAACGTTACTTACTTTTATGGCTTCTTTTTTTTTCCTGGAGGCTGAAGATGAATTTGTATACTGGCCAAACAAAGATGAGCCTATAAACTGTGAGAGTTTCAAAGTTACTATGATTGCTGAAGAACACAAGTGTCTGTCTAACGAGGAGAAGCTCATAATCCAAGACTTTATTTTAGAAGCTACACAGGTAACACTGTCATAAATGTGTAACTCAGGACTTGATCTGTTAAAGGTAATGCCTACATTTTGTTACATTTTCTATGGTAACTGAGTGATAAAATTCCATGCCCTTGAAACACCCGGGGAGGGAGTAACCTCTATAGCTAATGTGGTGACATGGGGAATAGGGTAGTCCAGCCTCCACAGCAGTGGATTCTGTATCTGGAGGCTGGAGCCAGACTGGAACAGAGTAAAGGATAAGAATAAAGATAGTCAATATTTACCAAACTGATGTATGTTTTTTTCACTCTTTTAGGACGACTATGTACTTGAAGTGAGGCATTTTCAGTGTCCAAAATGGCCAAATCCTGATAGTCCTATTAGTAAAACTTTTGAACTGATCAGCATCATCAAAGAGGAAGCTTCCAATCGTGATGGACCCATGATTGTACATGACGAGTAAGAACTGCAACTTTCAGTTTGTTTTGATGTTTTTCTGTAGAACCATCTCTTCATCTCATTTAGAGTGAAAGCCGCTGAAACAAGGCACAAAGTCTGCACCTAGCAATAGTGCTGCCGCCTCTGTTTCAGCTGCATCAACAAGAGAAGCATTTTTATTTTATCACACTTCAATGTTTTCTTTTCAATTCTGTCATTTTGATACTCCAGATGATTGTTGAATAGGGCACTGGAGAGGAAATCAATCAGGGCTTCATTGTCTATTATTGAAAGAAGTAAGACTATTTAGACGAGGCACCTTACCCTTCTCCAGCGTTTAATAATGGCCAAAAATACTGAAATGTTGAATACTGAAGGACCTGAGGCCTTCAGGATTTGGTTAGCTTTTTAAATAACTCTAAGATTGGCTTTTAAAGACTCTCCAGAAGTTGTAGCCAGGTGCTGTGAAGGTTGTGTTAAGGCACTGCTGCGCAGACCTACTTCAGAAAGTGTAAAGATCACATGACAGAAATTCATCATACCAGTTTACCCTGGATTTTTGTATTTTCTCTGGCTGTAGAAACTTGATCCAGTTTCTAGAGACTTTTTTTTTGTGTTTTGTTTGTTTGTTTTTTTTACTTTACAAAGGCATGGAGGGGTGACAGCAGGCACTTTCTGTGCATTAACAACACTGATGCATCAACTGGAAAATGAGAACTCAGTGGATGTTTACCAGGTAGCAAAGATGATAAATTTGATGAGGCCTGGAGTCTTTACAGACATTGTAAGTAATAAGCAAAATGTGTGCATATTTTTTTTCCTATGTGTGGTATTATTAGCATACTTAGATCTTAGGGCAACATTACTGAACCATTGGCATCTTAGTTTCTGCGTGAGTTAATCAAAACTGTCTTCCAGAGGTGCTGTAGTGGATGTGCTGCTTATTCCAAAACAAAGTATATCCCGTGAAAACCTGTTATGTGGTTATCAAGTGGTCATATTCAAAATGTGCAGAGCTGCCACAGTCATCATAAAATCTGCACTACGTCATGTAATTGAATTTAGGAATAAATTTGTACTCCAAGTAGGCCCTGAAGTAGTTACCCTAGCTTTCCATTTCAGGATGGACTTTGATCTTTTATGATCTGTTGAATGGTCACTTGACACCATTGTCACTGTGCTTACAGAAAGAAAAAACATGAAAAGTATAACAAATAAGAATTACTTACTAAGTCAGTGTCATACAAATGAAAATTCATCACAGAAATGAAAAACTACGAACCCTGCCCCTTTGGTCATGCCACTACAAATCTGACTGCTGTAGAGCTACAATGGATGTAATAAGGAGAATACTTTAAGAGTGAAACGTTAGGGTTAGTATTATCACATTTTTGACAGCAAAACCAGGACATGTCACAGAATTCACAGATATGTCGGCCCTTTGCCCTGCCCAGCTAGCCCAGACTGAGGTGCCTGGCAGACAATGCAGTGAAAATGGAAAACTGCTCTTCCCACCTCAGCAGCACCACTAGGACCTTCACTCCTCTTGCCCCAGGAGCCTCCAGCAAATACCTGGGCCCTTTATCTCAGATTTCCAGTTTCCCATCCTCCTACTGCAGATTGTCAAATTCGTGGCTCTTTCTACCCCGTATCTCTTAGTGCAACCTGATAGTCCAGACCCCAAACCCCACTCTATTTAGTCTGTCTTACTGCCTCCCACTCCTTCCATCACGGAAATTCTTTATCCTCATATATCCATCCTAGAACCCAAAATATTCCTCTGCCCTTTCAGAGCATCCACTGTTACCTGGTGCAGCACAGCCTTCGCTGTGCCTACGCTCCCGAGATGCTGCCCTGCACAGAGCATCCAGCTGTTTTCCCCTTACCAGCCCACGCTGCAGCCCAGCTGGCTTCTGGCACTCCCCACTTCCCACTGCACCCAGCTGGGACCCCCATCTCCCTCTAGGCAGTGGCCTCCTCAGTGAATCTTCCCACAAAGTCTCGTCCCTCTTCCTACACTGGGCAGGGTCTTCAAAAACATAAACAGTAACTGCAAGTACCGAAAAAAAAAAAATCTGCCTGGATAGAATTTGGAGGGCAAAAAATGAGAACATATTCAAGGGGAAAAAAAAGCCAACAGACAAATAGTAGCCCTAATCCTGACCCCATTCAATCAATGGGAACTTTGCAATTGGCTTTAACAAGGATCAGATTTAGCACATAATATTTCTTAAAAAATACAGTTTTCTCCCCCACCTGAACTGTGTTCCTTAATGTTGTGGTTTACATTGTGTACAGGGGGAGCCATTAGTCAGAAAATTAATAAAGCTGCTAAGTAACACAATAAATTGTGGAGCACAGTACATTAACAGACTGACACATCAGCTGTTAATTAATTTTGAGTAACAGTGTTACAAGATAATCTAGTGTTATTATTTCTGACAACACACTGACTATATCCTCTTTTCTTCTCCAGGAACAGTACCAGTTTCTGTACAAAGCTATTCTCAGCCTTGTCAGCACAAGGCAAGAAGAAAACCCCTCAGCATCTATGGACAGTAATGGCTCAGCTTTACCCGACGGAAATGTGGCTGAAAGTTTAGAATCTTTAGTTTAATTAACACGTCAAATTAAACACACACATACCTACATCACACCAGTCACACCTGGAGTTTACCATTAATATTTTCAATTTTATACCTTGGGAGGGGAAATCTGTCCAGTCACTATATATATAATCAGATCCCAACCGTTGCTCAGTCAGTCATTTCTGTTACATATGACTTTACTGCGGAACTTTTATCATTAACAATGTGTGCCTTTTCTTGAAAGATTTCTTGTAATACGTTGTTACGTCTGGACTAACTTGATTGACTTTTACAGTGTTTCTAAGAATTGAATTGTGGTATGTTTTTTCAGTATTAGTTTTTGGCTTTACTTTTAACTTAAAATTATCATATTTATAGATGTTAGGGGGTTCTCAATTACAAACAAACATGTCATGGTTTTAGTATTTGATTTATTTGCTGTATTTATAACAATTTACATTTGCTAGAAATATAACTTTTAATATAGTAGAATGTAAATAAAATACTGTTCTCCATAACATTCAACATTTTAAGACTTCAATTAGACATTTAGAATAGTAATCTGATACTTACTGTAAATACTGCTACTTCTGTAGTGATTCCATGGACCAAATTTATATTTATAATTGTAGATTTTTATATTTTACTACAGAGTCAGTTTTCTAGTTCTGTGTAATTGCCTTGTTAAAATGATGTAGTCCAGTATGTTTTTATTTTAACAAAGTCTTCTGATATATAATTGTGCATCTTAAGCAATTAACCTTCATATAGCTGCATGTGATTTTAACTTTTTGTGGGAAATAGAAATATCATTTGTTTTGAAATGAGAAGTTTTTATGAGAATAACACCTGTATTTGGCATTGTTAAATTGTTTTTACCTATGGCATTGCAAAAATAAATATAAATATTCCAGTCCGTGCTTAGCAGTCTACCACATACAGTAAACAGTCTTCACTATCATATGAGAGAGCTTTTACTTACAAGAATAAGGATCAAGGCTGAGCTGGAGACAGCTGCTCTTCCTCTGGAATCTGTGAGTTCAGAAGGCAGTTTTAGAAAACTTTACGTTTTGTTATTTAATCTCTGCCCACTTCCACTCATACCCATAGTGTCCACATTAGCTCCTGGTTTAGCCTCTCCCAGTCTGGTCACCCACAGGCTGACAGGCTGTCCTGGGCCTCCAAATTGCCTTAATTGCCCTCTTGCAAGACTCCTCCATGCTGGCTTTGCTTCAGATCTTTCATTCAGCTGCTGAGCTCTTGGCTGCCTCCTTTGGCAAAGCAAACGCCAAACTCTGGGAAGCAGTAAAGCAAGTAATCTCTGCAAGAACAAAAGCAAAGTGTTTCAACTTGGCCACTGAATTACTTTCTGTAACCTTCTGAACGGGCAAGAAAAGATACTGATTGTACTGAAGGTTGCAGCACTGAGGAGGGTGGAGGAGCCTGGAGCGGAATAGATCTTTGTTTAAAACTAACACAGGCCGTGAGGGTAACTCTTTTCTCAATTTGGTACATTCAGTTGCTACGTAGAAATATTGAGAGCAGAGATATGGTTCTGGACCAGAATGCCAAAACGAAACTAGTGGACAGTATCTTAGATGAAAAATAAGGATGGGAGAAGACGGACCTGATGTGGACTCGGGGATTTTAGTCGCCTGATGTCCTGAGGCAAGGGTGTGTGAGGGATCTCAGTGTGTCAGCAGGTAGATCTAGACACCTTCAGCAGTGTGGGATTGAGGACAGGTGAAGCTGCAACAAAGCCAAAACAAATTTAGAGGAATCTAAACAGTGGAAACTTTAAAAAATCCTCCTACTGTTGATAGACGAAATGAGTGTGAAGGTGCTAGACCAGGAGACAGAATGGCACAGGATGACAGAATAGCTAGCAGTAAAGCAGACTTCTTCTGCTCTTGCTCTCTTTTTAAAAAAAAAAATCGTATAGACAAAATAATCAAAACAATGTAATGTATAGTTTGTTTTGTAAAACTGTGTTAACATGTTAATGCGCTTGAATTCTCTTTTACACTTGACCGCTTCTCTTTATAACCACAGTAATGCAGTCCCAGGCATTATGGAGTGCTGAATCCGTTGGGCTTGGGGCCCTGGGGGTTTCCCCTTCCCTGTCCACCAGAGCTGCATGCAGGATGATTCTCCTGTCTCAGCCCAATTCCCCTTTGCAGTCTGGCCAGGGACCACGCAGGGCACATATTCCACACAGGGAGATACACACACACACACACACACACGGACACACGCACACTAGAGAGAGTGGTAGAAACAGGGTTCATCACACAGAAAATAGGACTAGGATTTAAAAAGAAGGCAGGACAGAGGGCAGTGATCAGGCACAGAGATGACAGGCAGGGGTACTGCCCAGCAGCCTGCTTACATGTACGCATCCCCTTTTACTCCTCTTCTCTCTGATTTCCCTTGCTTAGTCTTCCTCGATCCACCTTGATCCCTGTTTCTCCACCCTGGTCTGCCTGTCTCTTTGCAGATAAACAACCTAATTACCTAATTACCTTTTCTTCATGGGCCCCAGTTTTGTTACATCCATACCCAAATGTGAAACCTCTGATGCTGCCACTTAGATCATCTCAGCCGTACATAGTATTATCAACACGGTTACCTTGGTACTTCTGGCCTTGCAAGCTTTTCTTTCCAAAAGGTTTCCACCAGAGTTTGGCCTTCCCTCACGTACCTCCCCATGAACCGCCTGTGGAACGCAGCCAGACTTCGTGGCACTATTCGTGACACCGGCCAGCTGCTCGCTCTTGCCCTCTTCAGCAGTTTCCCCTCTCGCGCCCAGCAGTTCCCCAGGATCTGTGCAGGTAGCTCAGCCGTGGAGCAGGGGTGCAGCCACGTCCCTGCAGATGCTAATACTTGCCACTGTAGTTCACAGCCGTAGCTAGTTGATTGAGTAACTCAGAAATGAGGGAACCTACTTTTATGAGCCAAGATAACTTTATTCAGGTTTTACACTTCTTTTTTTCCTGTGGTCCTTGTCATACCTGCATGTTTGCTAATTCTGAAGTCTGGGAAGAACGGGACTGAGATACAGCTTCTAAGTGCAAGTGAACTTACAATGCATCCCTAGCCAAGTTAAACACCTTTGAAAAATAGGATCTAGACTTTTTTCTTATTATATTTGTGTTATTTTGGGGGTGATAAGAGTTACAAATGTACAGAACAGGCTCATTGTCCCAAATGATATACATTTTTATAACACTGTTGAATGACTCTCACACTTTCTTCACAGCTTTCAGGTACAACATTGGTGTACACAAAGGTGTGTAATGATTGCTCTTTGAGGAAGGGAGTATCTTCTTTTTCCAGGTGGCCTGGGGGTTCCTTACTACTTCCTCTAAAGCACTCCGGTTGACTGAGACCCTTTGCTTGCACATCTAGGCTAACAAGGACAGCAATATTATATAATTCCTCCCCCTCATTCCAAAAACATAGACACCATTTTTCCTTTCTTAATCTCTAAGAGTGCCTGTATGAGAGAGGTTAATTGTGATCTTATGGCCATTTGCAAACCATATTCCATAATCTTCTTACCGTATACTTCTGCTCTTCACCACATTAGCACACGACATGAGAAACTGTAATGCTCGTGTGCTACTTCTCCAGCCTTTTCTTTAGGAAGACTGGCCTGTAGCCTCACATAACTTCATGCTTTTTATTTTGATATCTTCTATTAATGTGTTTACAGTTTCATATAGTTATATATACAAAGGGTTTTTTAGGCCAATTAATTCTACCTGTTTTTCAAGCCTCTATGGACCAAAAGCAAAAAAGGAATCCTCCTTTCTAAAATCCCATCTTGATATAACTGTTCCTTTCAACCTAAATGTTTTGCAGACATTTTAAAATGATAATCCAAGGAATCAGCTGTCATTCAAGGTTTCTTCCAGAGATGTTTGTAATCACATTCATCATCTTAGCATGCTGACAAGTTATTTAAAACATAAGTGCTTAGGATAATCTCTTTACTCACACATATTGGTTCTGATCTAGAAAAAAATAAGAATCATAAAAAATCTTCTATAATCTTCAACCGTGATGGATTACAGATTTTAATAAATGCGTGTCAGTTCCTCTCTCAGACAAAGGCCATATTCTAATTAATTTTTTTCTTGTAATCCAAGCTACAGACTCAAAAGACATATAGCCTGCCTTTTCAAACTGGGTCAAGTGTGGAAAAGATGTTATGTATCTCCTGCAAGAAGCAGGGTATTAACAATGTCAGTGTAAGATTTTTTTTTTTTAACAAAGCTGTAAGTCGTGTGTGCCAAGGAAAACTTGATTAGTGAGCTTCCTCCTAGGAAATCATAGATGAGTAGCGAGTTAAAAAAAAAACTTAAGTAATTTACTAACATCACCAACTTTTTAGTGATTGTGGTGGTGTGATTTAATACCTATGGAAAAGCTTTACAAAAGTCAGCAATAAATGATGACTAGAAGTCATACATACTTCCCTGCAGCAAGGCTAAGCTCTGACCAGCCATTTCTGTTTCACAGGTTTGTGCTTTGGTGGATTAGGGACTTTACTTTCAAAGGGACAAGAGGGAAGAGAAGTCTCTCAGGACATTTGGCCACATTTCCCCTGATTCCCCTCTGTTTCCAATTGCATCCTTTTCTTTTTAGAACCAAAAAAGTAGGGGAAAAAAAAACGTTCTGGCCTACTGAACTCCTTCCCTTGTTTTAGCAAAGTCAAATCCTGTGACCCTGTAATTAGTCACAGTGTATTTGAGATGGTCTGATTTGCCTTGATAAATTCTGCTGGACACTCAAAGCTAAATTTCTTTTTTCCCCCCCTCGTCGTTAATCTTCCAGCCTAATCACAATCGCTTTACCCCAGATTTTTTTTCCCTTCAACACCTATTGGGCTATGAGCGCACGCCCTTTGTCCGGCAGTCACGCTTTTGTGCTGCGGTCCCGGAAAAGGGATGTAATTCTCATCTACAGGAATATCCGGGACAGAGAGAGTGTGAAACATTGAGGCAAGGAAGGGAGTCTGAGTGTAACGGGGCTCGCGCACCTCCATCTCAGACAGAAACTGGGATCTTATCTGTCATGGAGAGCTGGCACTAGAATAAATTCCAAAATGAAAAAATAAGAGACACGCAGTGACAAACAATCTGTTCGTTGCAGCCTGATGTGAACAAACAGCTTAAGAGCCTTTCAGCCCAGGCAGTGATAGCAGGAACCAAACCACGTATTCAGCTGAGCAAGGCCCTCAAGCTGAGATAGACAGTGAGACACTAAGCTTTCATTTCTTCCTGGGGTACAGGGAGACATTATACATCTACTGTTCTATAGCTTTCCACTCAAGTAGTTGTCCTTGTGCCCAAGCAAAAAACGTGCTAAAAAAATTGCATCTCTTAAGATTATAGCTGAAGATGATGTCCAGGTACAGAGAGAGATATATATGTATATAAATATATATATATAGGTGTTAGATAGGGATGCTTAAACAATCCTTGAAGCGTCTTCTCGTGTGATTCTAGCAAGAAGTATGGAAAGGTATTTCATGTACATAGAGAAGCCCATGTGCAGACACCCTTTCAATATAAGCATCTATGTAAAAAAACAAATCCCATTCATGTACATCTCATTAGACTGTAAAGATGACATGACAATGAAACACAAGTTTTCAGATTTATTTTTCAAGCAATCTTGTGTATAAGATACAATTATCTTTCCAATAATATGCAAAGAGAACTGAGAAGTCTAATCTTCATACAAAAGCTGAGCAATAAATTCATTTAAGTCTAAACTTAGAAAATGAAAAGCAGCATTGCACTGGGAAACAGAAATATATTCTGATACAAAATGTTTCAAAAACAGTAGCAGTGTTTCTTGAAGAAAACACTCTGTAGTGCTCATTTTTTTTGTGCTCCAAAGCGATTCCATGCTTTTTAAAAATTCCAATTTTCTTTGCATACTGCATTTCCTAGGCAGAAAAGCAAGCAAGGTGCATGCATGTATACAGAATCACAACTCCATGGTTATGTATTTGTGGGGTAAAGGAGGGAACAGAGAATTCTCAGTGAAATCTTGGTCCCACCAAGCACTGAACTGGAAGGGACCCGCAGATACAAGCCTAATTTTAACCCTTTAATCTACCGGGGGAAGGAGGAGGCAGCAGAGGGCGGAACATTCACTGTAGGCTCCATCCTTACCCCAGCTGCACATACCAGCCATACAACAGACCAACAGCCTGTAGGGCCAGTGGGAAGCAAAGCAACTCAGCGGAGCCAGGATTTCATCCGATACTCAGAACATGCATGGCACTGTAACAGAATCCAAATTTGACAGTACAAAAGCATTCAGTGGTTCAGTATAAAAAGCCCTCCTCTTTGCCAATAATACTCTGCCCTTCATTATTCCTTCTCCCTTTGGCTCCTTTCACCCTCCTCTTTGTTGCAGTTGCTACTTCATTACATATGTACAAAGAAAATCCAAATCCTGAGTAGCAAAACTTGGAGATCAAAACTTCAGCTGTTGTTATGGCTGCTTTTCTTACTGGGCAGAGCAACACCTGGAATTCCAGCCCCTCGGGACCATGATAATCACACTATGCTTCTCAGGAGGTAAAAGGCTGTGTGTTTATCAGCAAAGTGCACTTGTGAGCAAAGTTGAAAGCAGACAGCTTCCAGCATCAGTATTCAGCTTTAGAAAAGGGGAGCTCCAGACAGTTGCACAGGTACCAGTGCAAATGGTATCTGCCCACAGCATTGCATCTCACAGGCCTAATTCGTGAAGTCTAAGCCGTGCTTGCATTGCAAGGCGGTGTAGAAATCCCTGAGCAAAAGCCACAGAAGCAGCCCTGAACTGGAAGGAAGCAACTGCTGTTTTGTCAGAGAGAAGCTGCACTCAGGCTAAAGTTCAATTCTAGGCTGATGCGGCTAAATTGCCGCTAAAGCCGGGCTGGCACGTCTGTGCAGCACAGCACTTAGCATCAAATGAGCCGGTACACTGGCAAACTCTCAACAGTCTAAAGTGGCACTGAGTAGCAGGGATAGGCTCCCAAATGAACGCTTCAAAAGCAGGATAGCAAAAGGACAGAAGCTAACTCAAAAAGTAGTGATTTAAACCTCTAAGCCTACTGCATTTCAAAGCTGCTTATATTACACAGTCTATTCCCTTTGTAACAGTACTTAACCTGGACGAGGCACACAGCGTAAGTGGAAAGAGTAAACGTCATTTGGAGCGGCTTCTAAGCACGTTAACTGTGTTGTATTTCAGAATGCCCTTCCTAGCTGCAGAGCTAAATGCTAATGTGCTCTCTTCACAGCACAAGGCAACACGTAACAGCAGGTATTTCAACATATCGCAGCTAGCTTCCACCCTGTAACGGGAAAGGGTATGGAGGGGAGGCTTGCTTTAAACTTCCTCCCTCCACCAATTAATTTAAGTTTACATTCATTCGAGAGAGATTTCAAAAATATTAAGATTAGATTTCAAATATTTAACAACTGAACATTTTCAAGATTTAACAGGATCTTATTTGCTAGTAGTGCATGATTTATAAACTATTTCTTGCATATTGTTATTGTGAAAACATTCACAAATACTGTTAAAAGGAAAGGGACATAAGACTTAAAATTGAAGTATCATTTTCATCTCTGTTATTCTGATAAATTATTTTTACCACATGAACAATCAAGCTTAATCAATGGAATTCATTAACCAGACTTTTCCACCATGAAAGAATCCACTAATAGATTTTTCTTTCAGCTTAAATTTGTCTCAGTAATAACTGTATACACTTAGAAGATAAACTCTATTAATCAATCAAAACCAAACCCCTCCCGAGATATTTTAGGAAAGATATAAGGAAAGATCTGATTGATGCTGAAACACATACATGAAAGCTTAACAGTTTTAAAAGGAAAATACCACAATTCATGCATCTGGGTATCTACAGTTTCTACATCAAAGCCAGGAGACCGGTTTTATGGAAGGAATCATTTGTGTATGAAACGGTAGGTACTGCCTTTAGCTGGTCCAAATTGAGATTCCTAAAGCGGGGGGAAAACCAAACAAAGCCAAAACCCGATTCAATCCACTGCTTCCAGTTACTGTTTGATAACGCTGTGAGTACTGTATACAATGCCTTCTGCCCGAACACGTTCAAGTATTGGTCCGTAAACGTTCTTTGTCAATGGTATAACCATACCTTTGGCATCTATTTCACCTGAGATAAAGGTAGGAAAAAAAAAGTGTTAAGTGCTGTACTGGGTTTACCCAGCAAAGCTGTGGCAGCGGGGCTGCGGAGCGGTCTCTGTGAGGAGCGGCCGGGGCTCCCCCGTGCCAGACACAGCTGCTTCCAGCCGGCTCCAACCCACCCACCGCAGGGCACGGCTGAGCCCCTCGGCCAAGATGGTGGAGCCTCTGGGAAAATGAATTTAAGAAAGGGCAAAATGCTGCACGGCAGTAAGGAGTGAGGAAAAAAGTGTGAGAAACAGCCCTGTGACACCAAGGTCAGAGAAGGAGGAAGGGAGGAGGTGCTCCAGGCACTGGAGCAGAGACTCCCCTGCACACCACGGAGAGACCACGATGGAGCAGGGGAAGTATGAGGAGGAAGGAGCAGCAGAGAGGAGCTGTAATGGACCAACCACAGGCCCCCATTCCCCATCCCCCTGCGCCGCTCGGGGCAGAGGGAAGAGGCTGAGGAATCAGGAATGGAGGAGTGAAGTTGAGTCTGGGAAAAAGAGGTGGGGGCAAAGGTGTTTTGTCTTTGTTTCTCACTATCCAAACCTATTTTTAATTGGCAATAAATTTTCCTCAAGTTGAATCTGTTTTGCCTGTGACAGTAACTGGTGAGTGATCTCCCTGTCTTTATCTCAACCCATGAGCTTTTTCATCTTATTTTCTCCCCCTGTCCTGCTGAGGAGGGGGAGAGAGCAGCTGGGTGGGTATCTGGCAGCCAGCGAAGGTCAACCCACCACAGGTAAAAATACCAATTTCCAATTATATACATTCTAATGTTTATATTTTTACATATATATATATATGCAGATTTATCAACCTTGGCATTATGTTCTCACACAGCAGTAGTACTGTATCAAAGAACACGGGGAAAAAAGTTTGAAATAGTAGCATACACAGCTTGAATTTAATTCATAGAGCTGTGAAACTGTGATTAGGTGAAAAGCATCTAAACTTCAAAAGTTTGGTTTTTTGGTTTTTTAAATTATAAAAAAGACCAAAATAAAAAACCCCAAACCCAAAGGTTTTGCTCATTTCAGTTAGCCAGGAAAATAATGAAGGTCTAAAGATTAAGAGCAAGCAAGGGGAAATCACATTATTTCATTAAACATGGTGACGACTAGGCAGAGTCTGCCTGTTTATATATACACATGATCAGGTAATATGCCCCAAGCCTCAAATTTGATCAATCTGGAAAGTAGCAATGGAAGTCACTAGTTTGTTCAGCACAGGTATATAGTAGCCTGCTTCACTGTGGCATCATCAATTGTAATTTATCATACCAAAGGTCCCCTCTCCACCAGTGAAACACTTAAGACTAAATTACTAAAAACCTCTATAGATGAAGAAGTTAAGAAGAAATGTCACTGAAACATCCAAACATGCAGATTAAAAATTCCTGTAAAGACAACAGGAAAAGTTTGATTAAATTAAAAAAAAACCAAAACAAAACAAAACCAAAAAACATATATACACTTCAGAAACACTACACATCTGCTTTCTACAGGCAGGAAGATCCAGAGTGAAGAAATACTGTTGCTGAAGCTTGAAGAGTCACTTACCATCTAGAACCATCTTAGCAGCAATAGCTGTGGGGTATCCTACTGTTTTAGCCATTGCAGAGTATCCTTTGTTATCACCATAGACAACCAGATCAATAAATTTGTCTTCCAAATGACCAGAAGGATGCCTGAGACCTATTTCATTTCTCATAACAATCATATCTCTCTCTCCAGTGCCTAAGAGAAAAGCACACAAACTATTCATTACTTGTATTTCAATTACATCAAGATGAGGTTCCTGACAAGCAAGGCACTATGCATACACAGCACGTATATCAGGGAAGTGACTTAAGATAGGGACTATTAGGGAGGACAGAATATTAAGATGAAACTAAAAACAGGGAAAGAAAAGAATAAATTGGGGGAGTAGAGAACATCACGAGACATTAAAAAACGTCACATGAAGGTTTTTTAATGAAGGTGAACAAACTAATCTAATTAAGGCTGATAAGAGATATTGACTTGTTCCACTCAAAGCCATGAAAAAGAAGAATTTTTCACATACCAAAGGGCAGCTTCAGCTCCATGTGCTTTGCAAGAGCCCCCACAATGGAATCTGCTGCTGGAACTGGTTCATCTCCCAATAAACCTAGCCTGGCAGAAGAAATGAGACAGACTTATACCATTGCCTATCAACAGCTTAGTCTCAGTTTTGTAATTTCCAGCTTGTTCAGCATACCACTTTAGCAGTCTCAACATGGACCAAAATGGGGAGAATTGCAAACCTTTTTTTTTTTTAAAACCTTTAAAAATCACTGGAACATTTTACCATTCCACTGCCTCCAGCTGACTTTTGTCCTTTTCCAGTTTGCTAAATACAGCTTCTTTAAGAAGATGGTACTCAGCAGGCGGCTTAATTCCAACCAGTTTGCACATGAGCTCTTTCTATATTAAAAAAAAAAGAAAAAAGTTCCTGAAGGCCTGACATCTGTTCCCACTCCTTTTCAGTCAAGGTTTTGAGAACACACTGCTCCACCAAGCTCAGTTAATACCCAGGACTTCTGAGAAGACAGTTTATGCGTACAGAGAAAGTGAGATAGTTTGAGATTCACAACAAGTGAGAATAGGGGTCATCTTTTCCTAAATCACTTTGTACCCCACCACTCAGCTGATTCCCCCTACTTTTTAGTCTTATCCCTTCCTCTGGCAGTGATGAAAGAACATAGAAATCTGCATAAACAAGGAACACTGGAAGGATGTTAGGGTGAAAGAGAAGCCACCTGGAGACAGCCAGAGAGTCAGGAACTTAAGGATATCTTTCAGCTGGTCTAGAAATGGAAAATGTCCCTTTCAAAAGGAAGGAAACAGACTGATGAGATGAACAAGGCTCTGGCAATCCTGGGAATATTACCAAAAGGCTTTCTGAAGATTTTTGTGCGTATCTGAAGGCCATTTTGTGCTATCTAGATGCTAATTATTGCTTGCTTCATTCACAGCAAGACGGATAATAAATGGAGCTATGAACAAGATCCGAAGCAAGCAAGAACCGGAGAGTCTGTTTAGAAGCCCAGGTTAGCCTATCTCCTCTGCTTCCCAGGCAGAGTAGATAAAGGGAAGTACTAAGATGTAACAACATTGCTGAGACAAGGTTCGCAATGAGACTAATGAGTTTATAATTATTTTCACAGATTACATGACACTGTATACTTATTCATTGAGGCTAGAAGGACTAGAAATTCTAGCCATCTTTGCAAAGAAAACTTGAAGATATCAACCTTAAAATTGAGAGTGGACAAAAATAATCTCAAAAAAATAAAAGTAATTCCCATAAGGCAGCCCAAAAACTCCTGGAGTTTGGGAAGATGAGCAGTGCCATATGTTAGTCAGAGACAAGCAAGACTGGGCCTCTTTACCTTGTGCTTTCTTGGTTTTAAGAATACTCAACACATTCTTAACTTGAAATAATGGCATCATCAGAAAAATACTGTGCTCTCCTCAGACCATCACACAGCATAAGCCTGGTGCCTTTTTCCAGATTAATGCTGATAAAAGCACAAGGAAGGAAACAGGAGACAGATCTGAATTTTGTTCATCTGAGTAATAAACAAAGTTACTCTCTCAGGGGTTTGCAAAGTGGAAGAAAAATTTCTCACAAGACAAACAGACCTGACAAGTAGTAAACTGTTTGTCAGTTCAGCTCTCTTTACACCATACCGAAATATGAAATTCCCTGCTTTGCCCACAGAGACAACCAAAACGTTGATTGTCAAACCTAACAGCAGCACATCATAGGAGTCATATCTTGGCTGAGATTAAGATGAAGTGAGGCATCAGTAAGCAAAAGAGAAAAGCAGCATAACAGAAGACAAAAAAAATGTTTGTACAGAGTTTTAACAGAAAAAAAGATTTTAATATACTCATTTAGGCATGATCTCTTACTTCTAGATGCCCTAAAAAATACTTTTACACTGAAGATCACGGGCTAGTACCAATATGGACAGCACGAACTCACAGCACTGAGGGCTGGATTCTGACTAACAGAAAATTTAAGATAATTCATAAAAATATCCTACTTGAAGCAGGAGTACCACCAGCACTCAAGTCAGCCGTGGCTTTGTCTAGCTGAGTCCTGAAAGTCTCCAGTGTCAGAGACTCCAGAGTCTCTCTGGGGAACCTCTTCCAGCACTGTATTACATTCTTGCTGAAGAAAAACTTCCTAATTTCCATGAACAAAAAGCAGAGAAGACCAGGATGCAACAGAAGATTCCCATTGCTAAGCATACCCAAGCCCAGCAATAAGAAAAACATTAATAAAACAGAGGAAACAAGGCAGAGTAATCAGAGTAACTCACCCAGGTTAGAGGTGGCGTGGCTGAGCTTAGCAAAGGATAAGGATCTGGGTTAATTAATCCTAGTTTTACAAAGCCTCCCATAGTTTTGGAGTATCCCTGAAATAAAGGAATAACATGGTTACAAATAATAATCACTTGAAACTGAGGTGAGTATTTCTCCTTGGTTTGAACGTAGTGGTGGACACAACCATGGTAGTGTTAAGCATTATTCCCATGGGAAGACAGCCACAGAAACACGATGCCAGTGGGGTTACTGCTACAGAGCAGTACTTTCCCCAACCCCTCTCCCAGCCTCCCCCTACTTTTTCAATACCCTGTTTAATGACTTATTCTGCCATCAATACTTCCATGGCAAGTAGCATTGGTTCATGAGATCAAAGGGCTAAGCTGGCCAGCACCAGTTCAAACTCCAGCACGTCATTACAGATGGGGTTTTATCAGCCAGCTGGCCCATCAACAAACTACTGAATACAGAGAGCCCAACGCTGAACTCAGCTCACCCCAATTTTACACCAGTGTGATTGTATGGATGTCAGATAAACTGATTTTAAAGATAAGAATCCTGTGTATTTGTATCTTTCCTTCAGGAATATCAGAGAGACAACCAGGACAGCAGTGGAACGGTATTTAAAAGGAACTGCAAAGGCTGCAATAGGCTGCACGATAAAAGAACTCTCGACTGGTTTCTGCTTATTTTTGTTTATATCCCGTTAACACTCCCACACAGCTGCTGGATACCTGAAAACACTTACATGCCAGTGACTAGAAACACTGTAAAAAAGCAGAATGGTGGACATAAAGCACCCTGAAAGAGGGCTAATTATAATCAGCTCCACGAGGGCTAGGTTATCAGCTCAGATGGCCTTCCAATGAGATCCTTCTGTGACACCTCTTTTCCAACTGACTGCATTAGCTATCTGAACTTCATCTATAAAAGGCACTCTGAGGAGATGTTAGCCGCCTCACAGAACAGATTGCTTTCTGCTCTGCAACAAAGCAGCATGCACGAAGGGCTAACATTAATGTCTGCCCTGCTCAGCACTATGTTCTGGCGTGTAGGTACCACACAGGTAGAGGTATGGCAAGCTCTTCCACGCAACCCTACCAACATCATCCCAATCCAAAGTGATGAACCTACTTTGAGGGCTAAGAAAACAGCACTAACTACAGAAACATCGTTCTCGCAGCACACTGATAACAACTCTTCATGTCACCCTGACATTTTTGCTTTTCCTTGTGCTAACACTTACACAAAAGAAGAAAATTTTACCAGGCACCAAATGGAAGAGTAGATACTGTCATAATAAGACTTCATGACGAGATAGATGCCTTTCACATATTTTTAGCTTCTGAACAAGAGATCGTATCTAGACTGACAAAAAGAGAGCTTTTGCAATTTGTAACCCTTATTCCCCCACATTGGCCTTCCATCTTCTTTTGCTAAGCAAGTCTCCCTCCTTCCCAGAAATAAAGAAAAAATCCTGTTGTACTGCAACAGAGGAATTAAGAGGGAAAGGACATACACATTCCTCAAGCCATGTACAAAACAACAAAAACTTAAACCTTGACATGAACCTTAACTCAATAGACGTATCACAACATCCATAAAAGCTTTTTCAAACCTTCAATATGGTTTTAGGTTTATTCTTTCGGAATGTATATTGACCAACAAAATAATAAAAAAAGAAATTTGAAAGAAAAAATATTATGTTTTGATTCTGCTTTGTGCACCTAACAAATGAAAGGAAAAGAGTCTATCAGTTAGAAGGAAAACACATTTATCTCTTAACATTTTACTTAACTGACCAAAATGTTAAAGCTGCTCAAATTCAAGATTTGAATGAAAAACTTTCTCAGTTTGATGGAAAAACATATTTTTTCTGTAAGATTTTTACATTATGTTTTCCAAAGGAATATAAGCAACAAACTGCAAGTTCAAATTTTTATCAACTTTAAGAGAATAGATCAATTCTTAAAAATACGTAACAGCAACACATATCACACAAACCCATCAGATTTATTTAATTTTTCTTAAATCTTCTATTGATCTGATACTAAATACAGAGCCAGAGTTAAAAAGAACCACAGATACAGACTATGCAAGCCAACTGACCTAAAACCTAAACCTATGCTGCCTAAAACAAGTAAAATTATTTTTCTGGTTTGCAACAAACACCTGTTAAATAAACCAAGTAAATCTACATTAAAAAATGTGAGAAGTGCTTTCAGTTATCAACTGGGATAGTGCAGAGCTCATAAATACCAAGTACACCGCTATAAAAGGCTGACTTTTAAATACACAGTTTTCTTGAAATGACAACATTCATCTCTTGAGGAAAACAATAATTAATAATAACAACAACAACAACTTACTTTGTATCTTAAGGTGCCTCTCAACAAAGTGTGAGCTGTCTGAATACCATATGGCTCAGCATATTTTGTACTGTCTCTGTTAGGAAAACCTTCGAGATTTAATCCTGGGAAAAAATCCATCGGAGTAACAGAATCAAGTAATGCTCCTCCAGCTGGAATATTGATAATCTGAATTTTGTGAAAGAACAGGAATATTATTTCGGTGCAGTGTTATTTAATTTATTTTACAACAGAAAAGATGAAATATGCTCAAAATAGGAACAATATGCTTAGTGTTTCTGGTGCAAACAAAGGTCCAATCTAAATAAAGCAGTTGCACAAGCCATTTAAGCATATTCTGTGATGGAGGCGCATGCACTATGTCAGCCATTACTAATCAAAGTGCTAAAACAAGCCACATCCTTCTCACACACACTGTTTTTTATATTAAAGTGGCAGGTTCCCATTTCACTTACATTAGTGTAATTTTGGAGCACCTCCCCAAACTACACCAGTGTGACAGGAGATTCTGCCCACTGGCTCCCTGCTTTTTCGTCAATTTTTTTATTCTCTTTTTTTATGGGGGAGAAGAAGGCAAATGTAAAGAGAAGGATGGGGCTTTGCTTCTTTTTTTTTTTTAAAGATTAAAATAAATCAGGTGATATCACACTGATATACAATTGCTGCCCATGTGTATCTTTACTTGCAGCTACAAAGCACAGAGAGAATGCACCATTGAAGAAAAACAAAATAAGGTTGACTAGTTCTATTATCACTCCCAACCAAAGCCTTGAACCCTGCTTCCTTCAGGCAACCGATGCACAGATCGGCTATGCAGTGTCAATACAAACTCATTTTGTGACTTCTGAGCAAAGGGGCGAGGTTTCCCTTTAGAAGAAAGACTAAAGCAACAAAGTCTGCAGCAATGCCAGAAGATCTTAATGTGATTGTCAGGAAACACACTACTGTGGAAGAATCCTGCATAACAGTTAAAGACAGATAAGGATTTAGTGGCAAGGAGGACAAATTGCACAATTTACTGACAAGCTCGCATAGTGCTCTCATAATGAATCATTCATGTGCATGATCTAATTTTTCCTAGCAATGGGTGAACCAGGTCAGAATTAAGTAAGAAACATTTTCACATTCTCCAAGAGACCCTTTCATCTGAAACTTGTAACTATGTGTTGTTGCTTTTTAAATAATGATCCAATGTACAATCCCTGAATTTTTCCTTTCTTACTGCAATAAGAACACTAGAGCACCAAAATGTCAGGATAAAACATCTCAAAAGATTTCTCAGTTTTGCAGATCAAAAAGTTTAGACAATTAGCTAAACTTTACAGTGGTTATACAAGGCAGTCTCCTTGACATTTGAAGAGCCCCTGCTCAGTAACTACTCTGAGCAAGTGGGAGTGATCCAACAGATAGGACTGGAAAGCAGAAATGTGATAATGGCTTGCAATAGCTTTGCACAAATCAGTTATGATCTTCCCATAAAACAGATGCAGTGGCATTTGCTAGGTTAAGTCTACTCTAATGACTCCTGCACAAACAGCAAAACAGAGCTTATATAAAACACATCAGGAAACACTGTACACTTTCACAAAACCCACTCAGTAGGTTATTGGTATTACAGATTGCACCAAAAGAAAAAAATCCAGAGTTCTGCTATACACTGTGCAATTACAGAATGAAGCTGTTTGGTTTACAAACATGACTAGACAGAAAAGCAAGTAGAAGGATGCACTCTCACCTTTGTTTGACTTACAGAGCCAAAGACAGGGCAATTATGTGGCAAAAGCAACACACAACAGGGATGGAAGCTGAACCCAGAACACCAACTTCGATCCAGCGCTTTAGTCATTAGAACACGCTCCTTCTTTACAATCAGTTTCCATATAGTAAGAATTAAGCTGACAGCAGCCAGGCACCATCATGCTCCAAACATAGGATTAAGTGATGTATACAACTTGCTTAGGCAACTGACTGTCACTGGCTTGAAAGTAAACACAGCACCTTACAAATTCCAATTCCCTCCTTAGCCCAATACCACCTTCTTTGTCTGGCTTTAAATGGAAATGTTGTGATTACTTCACCTCTCCTTTTTTTAAATACGTAGCAGATTGAACTGTATTCAGCAACACTCCTTGTGGGCTCCAGCTGAACTTGTACCTCAGAGGATTGTCAGAGTGCTCTGGAGCTGGTAGGCCACCGCAGAAAGAAGTGTAGGATACAACCTGTCAGATTTATCCACATGAAAGAAACAATGAAGAGAAGACAGACCAGGATGCAAACAGTACAGAGCTACCCTGCAGAATCCCCCTTAGTTCTTAAACTTTCTGTTCGTTATCCCCCAACTACAGTGGACAGGGGAAACCAAAAGAATTTCACTGAGCAACAGTGTCAAGCTGTCACACTGCAGGCACTGTCCATAAAAGGGGAGGAAACCAAAACATACACTGGGGCAAAGCCATCTTAGTTGATGGTCTCACCAATTGAATTAATTGGCACCAAATTCCAAGCATCAGAAAAAGTAAGGTGTCTACAGTCCGTTACACATCAATGACATGCCCAAAAACTGTGTGGTCTTAAAGGAACAACTTTACTAATAAAATCTTGGCAGAACTGCCAACCTTACCGTAGCACCAACTTCTTTCGCCTTGTCAATACATTCCATCGCCAACATATGGTCAAGACCAGGATCCAAACCCATTTCACTGATAACTGTAATACCAGCAGCTTCTACGCTAAAAATAACAGAAATGCAGAGCTGTCAGAATATTCACCATTACTGGCCTTTTATTCAGGAAATCTGTCCAACAAAGGCCCAGTGAACTTTCCGCAACACAGTAAATTCTGGGCTCTATCTGCAGCTTGTGGAAAAAAACAGAAGCAGATGTTAAAATCTGAACAGTGACAATTGTCTAAAAGTCATTCTAGCCTTGGTTTCTCTTACTTTGCTGCAACATCTACGGACTGGTGGAAAAAGAAATTCCTACCAGGGGCTCCATATCCCACATTCTCCTGGACAGTGCTATAATGCAGGAAGGTAGTAATGCAGAGGACAGCACAGAGCTAGTCATAATTGCCCTAAACAGCTCCCGCGGGGGAGAGAGATTGAAAGGCCTACTTTCCCAAATTACAGGCTTTTGGGTTTTCTTTTTTTAGCAGTTGCCTACACTCCCAGAGCAGCTCACTTATCACCACAAACTGAGGTGATTTATTTTATTTTCAAAATCACTTTGTGTTTTGACAAATGAAAAGTGTCTTTTTTTTTTTTGAGAGCGTGATATGACCTCTTAGCATCACAGCAAGAAGGGGAGGAGAGGCCCCTAAACCTCCCTCATTGTCTGCAACACTGGTTCTCTACCTGTCTAGCTATCTCTGGTTTATCTTTTGTACAGACGCAGCATGTACAATTTTCATCTCACCTACTTGAATTCACTTCAGAGTTTCCAGTACTGTGATTGAGAGGAGCACCTTAGATGAAGCTCCATGCCCAAACCAACTTCCAATTGTATAATAAGTAGAACAACAGAAACATTAGAATAGTTAGAACTGTCACCAATTTGAAACTAACATAGTGGGCCTATCCAAAAGAAGGTGGCAGCATGAAGGAGGATGTTACTGTAGATAAGCCAAGAATGAGTTTTTATTAGGGAATGCGAAGGATGACAAATAAGCTTGCTGTCACTGGTAGAACAGGACAGCCCAGCTGCTCAGCTTGAATATCAGCCCAGCTGAAACATCCTAACAGGTTTGAGGGGAGAGGGGAAGGCACATTAACATGGAATAAGATGGGGCATACAGAAAAGTACATTCCAGTGTTTAGAGCACTAGTCTGACCAGACTGGGGTATGCACTCATTTCTCCACTCTGCCATAGCCTCCACATGCAACTCTGGGGAAAGGTACTTAGTCCTCCATCATAGAAATGGAAGGAGAAAGAACGCAGAAAACAGTAATTGACAATAAGTGTTGCAGGTGTAACAGACTGCAAAATATTCAGATAATGCATTAAAGAAGGAAGCAACACCAAGGAGATGCTACTCTCATACCTACCTGTCCTGGAGTTCTTTCATAGCTGGTGTTAAGTAGCTGGCTGTTACCAAGTTCACTTTGTTGTCAATACATTTCTTGGCAACCAAAGGATGTGCTGAATAAGGTAGCAAACTACAAATGAAGGAGAATTATGCAACATCAAAATCCAACCAGTTACTTATGCTGTCACTGGAAAGACACTCACAAATGTTTTTTGTATGCCTACAAAAGAGCTCAAGTAAATGCAACAGACATACCTGCCTTGCCCTGAGCAGTTTCATATGTACATAAGTGAAATGCTACCCTATCAGAAGAGCATTGTTGTATGCACTCAGAACGGGGCACAGGACAATAGGGGAGTCCTTCTTTAGACAGCATTTTTTGTCACACTTCTCTTTGTAAAAATCAAACCAACCACTGACCTCTTTTCAAGGCCACCTTCTAAACAGGCATGCTGGAGGTTTAGAAGATACAAAACTGTAAAACCATCCTTGAGAAAGCTTGCATTGCAATGATCTTGTTGAAGTACTTTGTGAAAAGCATGCTCTACATGGAAAGGAAACAACATTCATGACATCTGTGGCAAAAGGGACAAATCGGCAAGGACTATGAAGTCACTTCCTCCCCTGTTTCAATACCTGGAAAGAGATCTTTCTTAACAGGAAATTCAGGAGAAATGACCAAGATGTCAGAATTTTGACTCCTCTTGCAAACATGTAAATTTGATCCCAGGAACACATACACAGATGGACGCAACAGGTCCCTCACACTAAGAAGGCTGTCTATGTAATTGGTGAACACTTCCAAAGAGATGCTGCAGTCAAAGCCCCTTTGAAAGTCCTGATGCCCTGCTACGTGAGAAGGCAGTGGCTAGTTACAACTATTTACATACATAAATATGACCCCAGTTCTTGGGCATTAAAAAAAAAGTTACCATGTTGATTTAGATCAGTGAACTAGGAGAAAGAAGCAGCATGACTTAGGGTTGAGCCTATCATGTTTTACACAGAATTCTGACCTGATCACAAGGTCGTGTTTCTTCACCAAAGAGGACAGCTTTTCCTCATGCTTAATGACATCCATATGAACTGAAGTAACGTTGCTGTATTTTTTCGTCAGTTGTTCAAGTTGTTCCTTCATGACAGATGCTGTTTTAAAAGTAAAACACATCAACTGTTACCTAAAGATGAAGTGCAAAGCACTCCCATGCATAATTGTGCTTTACACACACCTCCTTCTTCCCAAAGAGAAACAGTTGCATGGATGTTTTCCTTCACTAACAGTTGAAGAGAAATCAGGCATAAAGCACCTTACTTCCCCAAAAGTAGTGAATTTCATTATCAATTGCCAATGTCAAGCCATAGCAGCTATAACTCAAGAACAAGAATCTACAAAAAATACTTACTCTCAAAGGTAAAGAACCACTCACTGCTGCTAAATTGTGTAATGAGAACAGACTTGTAACCAATTAGCAACTTTGTGGGTGTACTTAAAATTAACAAAAGTTTTAACTGCAGTTTTCCTATCAGCAGACTAGGTCAACACAAAATATTTATGCAAAACTAGAAGTCATCTCCCTTCTTTTCCACTCTATGAAGAAGTAGGTCTAGAACATGAGACTGTTAAACCTATCTTTGTGCAGTAGGACAATGCAGAACCCACTGGCTCGCCTGCATCACGTGCACGTGTCCTGCCACCATGGTTTTCTACAGCAGCACTGTCTACATTTGCCAGGTAACTGAGCACCCACACGGTGGGAAAACAGACAAACTAAACAGAAAGAAGCACACATTCACACCCAAGTGTTTTTTAGAGAGAGGGAAAAAAGTGTGCTGAATGAATGTATCTCTTATGCAGAAATGTGTCACAAAAGTGTCATTAACTAGTTACAAAAACCCATTATTATAGGGTAGGGAGGGTTGTGATCCACCCCAAAAGCATACTCCCATGTGTTTAACTCTGACTCCTCATAAAAACCTGTGGCAAGGTATATTCTAGGTTTTAAAAAACATACATACTGGAGGTTCAGTCTTTGATATCTCAGACGAACATCTGCCACTCTTTGCTAAGTGTCGAAAAGTACTGAAAAAGACATTACAAAGTTTTCAGAGAACAAGTGACCAAACCACTGATGGAAGGATAAAAGCAGATTCTTTTGGAATCCTCAGAAATGCACTGTTATCTTGGATCTAGAAGCAGATCAATTAAAGAAAGTGTTTGAGGGTGAAGAATGCAAATAACAGTCACACAAGAGGGGCACTTGGATGTGTATGTTCAGGCTCGAGAAAAGTTTTAGAGAAAGATCACAAGAAAGTAGCAAAAGCTGTAGTAAACATTTTTATTGATATACGAGAGGTGGCTCATCTTAACTAGAACAATAATCCTACCACACAAGGTCTGGGAAAAATAAAATAAGGATGACCAGCAGAAAAATATAACAACAGCTCTACTATGCCCAGTCAAAAGTACCACTAGCCCATTCAGGCAGACCAGTTTTTTTTTTTTTTGGAGATAGAGTATTAGTGGAAAAACTGTTAGGGATAGGGATCGGACAAATGAAAAACTTTAAAAAAGAGAGAAAGAGAACAAAAGTTGGAGTAATGAGTAGGAACTCAATGACATCCCACATACAGCACTATGAAATCAAGCAGCAATTTTTCTTTTCCTTATTTATTTGATGGACAATCACACAATAGACTTGATCTTCATGCTTTGACTTGGGGAGGACATCACCCCTTGGGTCTACCAACCCTTACTTAAATGAGTCATCCAGTGGTCTGCTTGGCAGAACAAGGTGTAGGAGAAAACTAGAATGCCAGAAACTCACATCATGGTCCTAGATGTATTAAATACTATTGGCATTCATGATCTCATCAATTTGCTGGAGAAGCACTGCACAACTAGAATGATGGGGGGGAGGGGGGGGCGGAAAATTGCCTACCCCTAAAAGTGCTTTTCCTTGCAGGTTTACAACCTCATGTGAAACAGAATAACTAAATAGCATTGAAACAGGCAGAGGTTTTGTTCTTGCTTTGACTTTCACACAGAAATACAGAAAAGGCATGCCTGGTGCTTCCCAATTTAATGAAATATTGTGTTGCACTGACTCTTGAGGGAAGATTGCAACAGAAAAATCGTATGTCCAATGTGTTTT